ATTTTGTTTTCCCTTTCAATTTCAGTAAAAATTGGCATAGAACTTGGATATATTTTTCTTATTATTCTTATATTTGTTTAATCACCTCTCCCAATTCCAGTTCACGTTTATTAGCTAATTATACAATTAGTAAAAAATGTGTAACAATAGTTATACTATATACAAATCGATTTTTTATATCAAACGAAAAAGTTAAACAAAATTTCGAATTCCTTGGCAAATAACAACTATTTTTTTATTGTATTACTATTTTTTTTTGTATTCAGATTGGACATCAAATACAATAATTTTTGTAATTCACATTTAGTATAGAAATAAATATCTGCCTAAAGTCTTGCAGATTTTGAATAAAAATATAAATAAAAGAACGTGCAACAATGAACAATACAATTAAATAACAGAACATAATTGTATGAGTGTAATAATAGTAGCAATACGAACTGAATTGGCGATCAAAAGGTGGCAAGATAGCAATTGACTGTAGCTATAGACTTTGATTTTCGTTAAGTGCTAAGTTCCGTTTGTCAAATGCAGCCTGCACCATCATCATCACACAACTCCGCCACACTCTCTTAAATCTAGTATACATTATATATAAATCATGAAGACTGATCATATATATATGTGCTATCTGCTTTTTCATCTGAATAATAAATGAGAATGCAATAAGCTGACTTGTCCAGCTTTTAATGCATGATGAGACGGATATCTATTTGTGGTCTTTAGTACTGTGTGAAACTTTGTGATTGGTATCCGGCTTGAGATCTAATTTCGAAATCTTGACTCAATAACGTGTCATCTCCTTGACTTTTGTAATCATCCAAATATTCGCTTATCGAACTATCTTGAGATAAAACGGAACCGTGATTAAGAGAAGGGCCAGAATTCGCCATCATACGAATGCGATCAGACTGAGACAATGCGATGCTCATAGACCCTTGACTGCTGTAAGCATTTTGAGTAAGTGGGCCTTGTGAAGAGATTGAATTTGTGTAAGATCCATAAGATGAAATTTGTTGTTGTTTTGAAATTTTGCGACTTGTAATGCTACTTTGCGATAAATCTTGGGTAAATGGACCATTGGGAGTCGGAAGCAAAGGTATGCTGAATTGAGAAGAGGGCATTGATGACATATCAGATGGTATATATCCGACTGGATCGTGCGTTCTCATAAAATCAACGTCATAAGAACGTCCAGTTCTTCGATCTGTATTTGAAAGGTTTAACGGTTAATAACAATATAAAGCAATCGCATTATATGTCTTGAGAATTGACACGTACTCTCACTAGCCAAAGGAGGTTTAGCGAAGGCTTCTCTTGCGTCAATTTGATGAGCTAATCCTTGTCTAAATTTATCATCTTTACGATAAGCTCTTCGAGGTCGACTAAATTGAATCATACTACTTTTCAAATTGTTTAAAGGTCCTTCTACCAAACACTTTTTGTCTTTATAGTGGGCAAGAAGATGATGCCAAAGTGGATGCTAAATTTAGAGTAAGGAATACATTAGCGATGAGGTCATTAATTAACAAATAAACTATTCGTAAAAGGTAGGAAGACCCTTACCTTACTCAAAACCTTTGGATTTCCTAAAATTACAACACCATATCTTGCCCGAGTCAAGGCAACGTTCAATCTTCTTGGGTCATTCAAAAATCCAATTCCTTGATGCTCATTACTACGAACACAACTCAAAATAATATAATCTTTCTCACGACCTTGAAAAGCATCTACACTAGCAACTTCAATTTCTTTATACATTTCTTTGCGCAAAGCTCCACTATGCTGCATATAACTAACTATATAGCTGCGTTGACCTTCGTAGGGGGTAATGATTCCAATATGAGCAGGAAGAACACCAGCCTTCAGGAATTTCGTAACAACTTTTTCGCAGTTTGATGCTTCAGTACTAAATAAAATTCAAGCTCAATAATTTATTCTATTACGCGAATTTCATTTATATTATATATTGTAATGTTAAAAAATAAGCTTACCGATTCAAATAAGAAGTTCCACTACTGGAGATTTCTTCTTGCCCCAAATTTGAATGGAAAAACATCGGAGTTTCAGGAGCAGGCCAAGGGAAATCAACATTTTTTCTTAAGCGATCTTGAGTAGTGACGCCATTTTGAAGTGATCCCTCGTAAAACATATTGCTGGGAAATTCAGATAAACATGGGTGCATACGGTATTGGACCTGTAATCTAATAGGTCTAATTCCTAGAATTACAAGCCGCTCAAAAAGTGATTGACAAAGACCAGCACGAGCAGCCTTCTTATTCATTATTACCGGACCCAGTTGTTGATGGTCACCAACCAATACAGATTGTTTACATCCGAGAACAAGGGGTATCATACATTCAGGCTCAGTTGCTTGAGTTGCTTCGTCGATGAGAACAGTCCGAAATTTAAATTTAGATAAGCGAGGATCGCCGGCACCTACGCAAGTGCACAGGATAACATCTGCGTTCTATTTTAAATTTTAATATGTAAATAGGAAGGTTTCTAATAAATTGCTTAAAATATTATAAATACCTGTAAAATTTCTCTTTCGCAAGCCCGTTTCAACATTTTGTATTTCTTTTCGTCTGCACTACTTAATTCACCTTGTTCAGTTTTTAACTGAATCAATTTTTGCAATTCAGCATTCGTGTCATTATTGTGCACTTGTTCATGTAAAGTAAGAAATGAAACAGGAGAATCAAGAGCTTCGCGTGATTTTGCGGTTAGACGAACAACTTTCAAACCGGTTGCATGAATTTTTTCTGTCAGCTGATCGACAGCCACATTTGACGGAGCACAAACTAGCACTTGACCAGAATTCATCTTTGCCAGATGATATACGATCGTGGCGGATGTCACAGTTTTTCCAGTACCTGGTGGACCTTGAATTAGACTCAAAGGCTTTTGCAGTACGCTTTTGACAGCGTAGACTTGAGAATGATTTAATTCAGGAAGATTAGGCGCAGAGAATCTATAAAATAATCAAATAATGCGAATTAATAAAAATTACTTATTATGTGCCACCCAAACAAAATAATTTTGTACGTTTAAAAATGAACCTTTTCGGCATTTGAGTTCTTAAAACTTGTGGTTCTACCTCGTGACCAAGAAGCTTATGATATATATATCCACTAACTGATGTTTCATCAACTGCGAATGTTTTCATTGCTAGCTGCATTCTATCGAAGCTTGTTGATTTCCATACGAAATCTACAGAGAAGTTATGAGTACACTCAACAGGCGTGTTGTCATTTCTACGTAATTCCAAGCCGACTTCATCGCTAACATCTTTTAATATAAATAATTTTAGCAATATCAAATATAATAAAAAATTACTCTTGATACATACTGTTTGGTATTTTAATTACATGTCCAACACATTCCCACGATTGATGCAGCTCCCCTCTATAGCGAAGTCGTAACTCATCTCCAACAGCCAATCTTACCTCTATAGAAACAAATAAAGAAAGATTTATATAAGGAAAATTGACACTATACTGTCATAAGAACTTAATGCTTATTTTCGCTCACCTCCAGATTCCAATTTAGGCAAGTAGAACCAAGCAATACGTTTTTGATTTAATCCGATATCCCATCTAACCACAATATCATCTTGAGTCTGAGATTCTTTTAATTTTTTATCATAATCTGCTTCCATTTTAACTAAAGGTCCAAAAATATTTTGATATTGATACGCATCTTCGTATCTACAAGGAAAAAATAATGAAATTAGAATAAAGTAATATCAACCTTTTATTACAAAACTAAGTGGACAAAAGTTCCGAGTCTGTTTATTTGATTAGGTAAATATAAAAAAATATAACGAAAAGCAAAATATATGGAAACAATGTAAAAAAAAAATAGCTTAAACCGTGGAAACTTTTGTCTACTTTGTGATAATAAATAAATACGCGACTCGCCTTAACAGAACTGGTTGCGGTTCATCATCAATACCAGGCTTATCCAAGTCTTCTAATTTAGCATCTCCATTATCTTTCCATAATTCTTCAAGTTTATTTATCTGTTGTGCGGTAATTTGTCGAGCACGGAGTTGTTCTTGTTCACTGGGTACTTTGACGAGCCAAGAAAGAAAACAACGATCGTCGATCAGAGGAAGCCACTGTGATGTATCCCAATTCATGTCCTTGCTACTAGGCATTGCAGCGCAAGGTTGTCTATTGAAATAGGTGGTTTTTAATTAATCAATCAGCACTATTTTCTCTATTTGCTCATATAAACTTTGTCTCACCGGCATAGCAATACTACTACAGTGTCGCTCTTTGCAGGGATGAATCCTAAAAGAAATACATTTCTACAGCCACAACTATAGCATTCTAAAGTAGTTTCTCCTAAAGTTGAATCTGGATGTAGCGCTACCTCTTTATGTTTTGCACGCACGAGGTGGTTGATAATGTGAGAACCGGAAGTATTGCCACGAGAATTGCAAAACCATTTGTTGCACGTAACGCATCGAGCTACCGCAGAAACTGCGTGGATTCCGCAGTATCTTCGAAACAGATCAATATAGTGAGTGAACTGAGTTTATGATAAATAAAAATTGGATTTAAAGAGCAAACAAATACCTGCAGGCATGGTCATGTAACTCTTTGTCGACAACAGCAAGATCTTGGAAACCATCAAGTTCGTCAATTGCGACCCCCGACATATCAGGCTCAACGAAATGACTTTGGGTTCCCTCGTTTAAGTCATCGACTTGCTGCGAGTTCAAAGAAGACTCGGTGAATCCATTATAGTCATACTGGGATGCCTGTGTATCACCGCCAGGAAATTCCACAAAAGAATATCGCTCTTCTTCTTGAGTATTGATTTCTGTAAAGTGATTCATGGTTTGCAGGGTCAATAAATGAATTTTTTTGACTTGTGAACGTTAAAAGTATATTACGTACTACACGTGCTCTTGCTTCTAGAAAATTCCAACCAAAAAAGAGACAAACATACCTCCCGTTGTATCACCCAATTTTTTTTGACTTCTAAACATGACGGCTTGCTCTCATGTTCTAAGCACTGTACTAAAACCACCTTCCTTGCACACAAAAATATACAAAGAAGAATGTACACAGTGCTTCGATACACAGGTCAGGCTTGCTTTGCTTTCATACTCGTACATTATAAAGAGTCTTGTTTATTGAATTCAATAATGTAATTTTAAAGGATTTACCCCTTGGAATTGATGTTTGCTTAACTTGCTTTAATGCTGGATGTCTCGATCCTACACGTCGACACGCTTTTCTTCACTACCAAAAAACTGCACACCCCCTAGTTCTAAATATACATCGTTTGATCAAGGATAAACCTAAAAGGGCAAGTATCTTTGTTTTATCGAATATACTGACACATATTCTCTTTTAGCTTTCAAATATTAAGATGTTTATTTACCTTAGTCAGATGAAATTGAGGAACCACCTCAGAAAATCAGTAAATTGGCTATCGTTCCTGAGTCTGACGAAGATAAACATGAATTCATCACACATGTCAAGTGTTATGCTTGTGGAGGCGTAGAGATTGAAAGGACTATTGGCCAAGTGATAAATTTTTCTAAACTCAATTTACATAAAATTAATTTTTTTCTTTATATTATAGCTAATTAATTTGTTATTTGAATTTTTAGCTTCCCATTGTCATAGATTCATTAATGGCATCTACATCTGCAATAAAACAATCTGAAATCCAGGCTTGGGAAGAAAAGATAATTGAGTGTGATCACGTAAAAAATTTAGAGCAACAAGAATCTAAACCTTTCGAGGCACAAGGTCATTAATTGATTTCATATATTAATAAATGTATTCTAAATTTATTTTATTAATAATTAATTTTTATATTATAAAGCCTTATCGCGTTGTAATGATTGTGAATTGAAAGAAAACCTTTGGATGTGTCTGATTTGCGGTAATATTGGATGTGGACGTCAGCAATATGGAGGACTGCCTGGGAATGGTCATGGAGTAGCCCATTATGAAAAAACAAAACATCCAGCTTCTTGTAAGCTCGGTACAATATCACCTGAGGGTACTGCAGGTTAGTTCAGCTAGCTAAATGCATAAATATAATTATAATTTTGATATTCTAATATTAATTGCCTTTTTGATTAGATGTATACTGTTACCAGTGTCATGAAATTAGATTAGATCCATATATAAGCAATCATTTAGCAACTTTTGGGATTCAAATTGAATCGAGTCAAAAGACAGAAAAAAGCACTACTGAAATGGTTGGAATTTCTCATTATCACGATCATCATTATAATTAAAAAAAAAAATGATTTTATTAATATTCACTACTATACTAGCAACTTGAGCATAATTTGAAGTTCGACTTCAGTATGACTACTGACGATGGTAAAGAATTGGAGACATTGTATGGACCTGGTTATACAGGTATAAAAAATCTTGGAAACAGGTAAATCAATTCCCTATCGAGCTTAAAGTATATACTCAGGGATTTATTAATCTCATTTTATTTTCTTGCTTTTAGTTGTTATATGGCTTCTGTCTTACAATCGGTATTCTCTTTGGATGCATTCCAACAAAGGTAATGAATTTGAAAGATGCACGCGCTAACGAATTGATGAAAATGTTAGTATAACTATTAACATACTCATATATCAGATATTATCCCAACGCGCTTGAACATAATGTAATCTGTGAAAAAGAAGCTGGCAGATGTCTGAATTGTCAATTATCCAAAGTTGCTGATGGCTTATTGAGCGGAAGATATTCAAACTGCATTGAAGCAATTGAAGCGAGTGAAGAAGAACGCTTAAAAGATGGGATTACACCGTCAATGTTCAAGGCACTGATAGGTGAAGGACATCAAGAATTCTCAACAATGAGACAACAGGTTTATAATTTTTTATTATTAATAAGGTAAACTGTTAACAAAAATAATAAACTAAAAAAAAAATATTTCATTTTAGGACGCTTTAGAATTTTTTCAACATCTTATAACCATGATTGAAAGAAATGATCATACGAATACCAGTAACGACCCCACCAGAATTTTTAAATTCTCAGTACAAGAACGACTTCAATGTTTGGAATGTAAACGGGTGCGATATTCTCAACTTACAGAATCGCATATTGGCATTCCCGTCCCTGCTCGTAAGATAACCAACGCTGAAAGTAATGAAGAAAATCTATATGAACCAGTAACTTTAGAACAATGTCTGCAATCTTTTGGAGCTGATGATATGATTGAACACTACAGCTGTCCTTGCTGCAATAAGGCAACTCAGGCTCTTAAGTATGCGTGATTTTTATAAGTATTCCTTATTTTCTTCTACTTAATAATAGAAATTTCTTTTGTTTAAAGGAATCGAAGGTTTATTACTTTCCCTGAAATACTTGTAATTCAATTGCGAAGATTCGAAACGCGGCGATCAGAATTTGAACATTACATTCCTAGAAAAATACGTAAGTTTTTTTATTACAATAAATAAATTCTTGAAAGTTTTATTGTTCAGATACTTACTAATAATGTTTTTTACCCAGCTGCACCTGTGATAATTTCTGAAGAAATAATCAATTTTGATAATTATTTGGCTCATGGAAAACAGCCAAATGAGGAATTGCTTCCTGAAGAAAATAAAAATAGTCAGTTATTTGATATGTATTGGTTATCTCCCGCGATGCCAGAGATGTCTTGATATCGGTGGCTGAGCGGGATATATAAAAATACTTGTCCTAATATTTGATATATAAGTATTGAAATTTTGTTTTCAATATTACAGATGTGCCACAATTTGATCAAAACGCTCTCGATCAATTGCTTAGCATGGGATTTCCGGAAATTCGTTCTAAAAAAGCTTTAACTGCGACCGGAAATTCAGGTGCAGAAAGTGCTATGACTTGGTTATTTGAGCACATGGATGATCCAGGTTTTCTTTTTTTTTCAAGAGGTCTGTTTTGTTGCGTATAATCAATCCTATGTTAAATTTTCGCTCTAAAAAGATATAGATGTACCGTATACAAGTGCAAACCCTGTCGTTTCTAACGTATCAGAAGAAGATATTGCGAGTTTAACAGATATGGGATTTCCAAGAACTCGCGTTAAAAAGGCTCTCGCAGAAACAGTGAGTTATCAATACGTATGAGATTGTTTCTATATTTAATAACGCTAACATTCTGTCCATAAGAACAATAATGTTGAAAGAGCTGTAGAATGGCTCTTCAGCCATCCAAATGATGATGTCGGTGAACAAAACAGTATTGACGCTGAAACTATCAATGCTAAATTTGGAGGTATATGAAAATTTTATTATCTTGTTTTCCACTCGATATTTAAATATGCATCACCATGCCTAATCAGAAGATTTTATTTATTCAGATCCATCTCTTCCAGCTAATTATGAAATTTCTTGTGTCATTTCACACAAAGGCACTTCTGTACATTCTGGTCATTATGTTGCTCACGTACGGAAAGATGGACGATGGGTTCTTTACAATGATAATAAGGTTGTAAGTGCACCATACCCTCCTCAGGAAGAAGCCTATATTTATATCTTAAAACGAACTCGATAACAAAGTAGCTCTGAAAAAAAATTTATTTCTAAAATGAGGATTTTATTACGTCTGTAGAAAGTGTGATTATGTATATTATTAATTATTGTATTGAATTCGTTCTTTCTCAGATATTGAGCGTGTAAGAAAAATGTCAAAACAATATTAGTTGCATTTTAATTAAAGTTTTAATTCCTCTACTTCGAGTTGGATCATATTTAATATTTGAAGGTCACGCTTTTTCTTTTATATTAATGTCAATATTATATGGGAAAATCGTAAGCATGTTACTCTTAAAATACATTGCTTAAGTGATTCTCTTGGATGTTACTATTTAGTTCATGTACTTTATTTATTGATCTTGACTTCAAGAAAAATCAAAATATCTTAAGATTATTTTCTTAGCAAAAACAGAGAATGATGTCTAGGACTTGGTGTACATCAATTAGGACTGTAAATTCTTTATCTTATCTTCTGTCATCTCTATCATTGTCTAGTCCATATCAAGAGCAGATGCCATCTGAGAGACATTTCAGCTGACTTATCTATCCTGCACCAAAAAACTTCTGATTGTGAATGTTTCATGTGCACAAAAACTTTTTAAAGTCTTTTTTAAAATTTCCAAAGAGAAAATCTCACGGTGAACCGTTTCAAAACATTATGAGCTCGAAAATACCCGATAATGCAAAACTATTAACAGAACCTTCGAAGAATAAACGTCCTCATCAACAAACCAATAAAGACATAGAAGACAGTGTGGTCAAAGAAGAGACTTTAGAAACAAAAATTCCAAGTAGCAATGAAGAGGCAGCTCGTCCAACCAAAAAGAAATTCACTACAGCCAATGACCGGAGAAACCACTTAAAAAAAAATTTCGCAAAAAGAGTAGGACAAAAAGAAGAGTATCAGCCGAGAAAATGGGAAAAGATGACAAATAAAGAAACAGATGAAACTCAAATTAGCTCAGATGCAGAGGAAGGATCACAAAGTAAAGACCCAAGAAAACCAAAACGAAAAGTTGCAGCCCTTGTAGGATTTTGTGGAACTGGGTATCAAGGAATGCAAATGTAGTGAAATAAAGTTCAAATCGGATTTTCTGTCTTTTAGATAGAATGAGAATTATTATTATTAAAATCAGAATAATTTAGAAATCCAGGTGCAAAAACTATTGAAGGAGAATTATTTAAAGCATTTGTTGCGGCTGGTGCAATATCAACGGCTAATTCTGATGATCCGAAAAAGTTAAGTATAATGAACATAATCGAATTAATATTGTGAATTAAAGTTAATATCATCATATTATTAGGTCGGATTGATGCGTGCTGCGAGAACAGACAAAGGTGTCCATGCTGCTGGCAACGTAATCTCACTGAAGATAAGTTAGACTCAAAGATTGATAGCTGATATCAAGAAGTTTTTCGTGTATCTCAATCTTACTCGAATTTTTAATTTTTGATGTTATACATGATAACTGATATTCCAGATGTTGTGGAAAAAATTAATGAGAATCTTCCGGATCAGATTCGGATGTGGGGTAAATAATATGATGCAATCCTTGATTCTTAATATAAAATTCTTTTAAAATCTTTTCTTTCAACAAAAAATAAAGGATATGCAAAAGTCGTTAAAACTTTTCATTCGAAAACACTCTGTGATTCGAGAATTTATGAGTATCTTATCCCAAGTTATGTCTTCATTCATTCGCCACCGCAACCACCACCAAATACTCAATTCAAATTGACAACTGAAACACCTTCACCGATATCACAAGATTTCACAATTGATCGTATATCATTGGAGGACATTCCAATAGCCACAGCAGAAGAAATGATTGAAAAGCGCAAGTATCGCATACCAACAAACAGATTGGAAACTGTGAGGCAAGGATTTAAGATTTACGAAGGAACGCACAATTATCATAATTATACGATCGGTCGTGGTGCTAAAGACAAGAGCTGCTTTCGATATATTATTAAATTTGAGGCTAGTTTTTTTTATGAATTCTTATCTGCATTTTAAGTATATAATCATTACTATTAATGTATGAAAATTTTGATGTTATTATAGGTTAGCGACCCAAAAATAATACAAAACACTGAATGGTTAAGTCTTAAAGTACATGGGCAATCATTTATGTTACATCAAATTCGTAAAATGGTTTGTGAGTAATCCTTTATTGTATTATAGCTATCAATTGGAAAATTAATCGATTATCCACAATATTCAAAGTGTTAAAATATTCTAATTATTTCATGTTTTTTATATTAAACAGCAATGATTGTTCTAACAGTACGAAGTGACACACCATTATCTCTTATTGAAAAAACATTTAGTCTAGACAAAATCAATATACCAAAAGCCCCAGCTTTAGGTTTATTGCTTGAACAGGTGAAATTTAGTTTTTTTAACAACGGCAAAAATGATAATTTTATTTGAGCTAAGGATTGCTCCGAACATTCAAATTTTGGTAAAAATTATACAGCCTGTTTTCAATTCTTATAATAAAAAAGCAAAAGAAAAAAAAAAGGATTTAGTTAGTTTTGAGTTATACGAGGTGAGCGTCAATCATCATTCTTTCAAGAAAAAACAAATTTTATATTAAACAATATATTCTTTAAGGAAAAAATTGATAAATTCAAAGATGGATTTATATATTCAAAGATCTTTGCGGAAGAAAGTGCAGAGAACACGTAAGTGCATTCATTCAGATAATAAATTTAATTTAATTTCGCGGTATTTTTATATAATTGCATTTGTTTCAGATTCCAGAATTGGTTAAATGTAGTTGATTATCATACCGCGCGTGATTATGGGTATCTTAACGCGGAAGGTATTATTCCGGACAGTGCAATCATAAAGACTGGCGAGAAACATCAAAAGGGTAGAATAATGGTTAAATGCGAAGATGATGACGACTTCGTTCCTGACGACGATAATGAAGAGTGAAAATTTCCTTTTACATATATTTTGCTGATATTTATAATTAATTGGTCAAAATAAATTTTATGAAATAAACTAATTAGTATCCAAAACAAGAATAAATCTAAAAGTCAGTTAATAATTTCTATGAAAAAATGTTCCATTGTTCGATTTTCTACAAAGAAAATTATCTACCCATTTCCCAATTGAATAAAAAAATAACTATGACATTCACGAAATTCTAGGTATTACATCCAGACGCATTTTCACTCTATTACCAAACTAGCCAATCAAGAGGTGATGGTATTTTAAAAGACAAGTCGATATTTTGAGAAACAAGAACCGCGACACCAACAGCAATTATACCAAATAAAAGTAATGGCAATTGAGAAGTATGTGAGATGTGGCTATTGCGATTCTTTTTAGCGATTTCTTCGGCCATTCCTTCTCGGGAATTCAGTGCCGCCTTTTCATCGGTCACTTTATTCGGATCGACAACACTTACTCTTAAGGTATGTATTAACCCAGGAGTTTTCCAGTCTTTAACTCGCCAATATAAGGTCTGTCTGTTTTTTACGTATCTCCAATCTCCGTCGGAAACACGAATATCAAGATAGCGTTGTTTGTAATGGTAATTCGGGATAAATATTTCTGTTTCGGGAGGTGCAAGATCGTTGTTTCCAGCTTGATATATTGGATGTGTTGAAGCGGAGTAATTCTTAAATTGGAGGGTGAATTTTAAATTCTTTAAATTAAAAACCATTGATTCTGGTTCGCCGGCAATTTTGGCAGCATAAGGTCGCTTTATCAAAAATTGATTGACATTTAGTTAATTGCAAAATGTATTTATAATATAATATAATATAATATAATAAAGAAATATTTACCAATACCGCATCTAAAACTCTACCCCCAATATGATGATGGTGATCTTCATCTGTTCCATCACTCTGATCCAAAAAGTGTACCTGTGTTAAATCAAAAGGCGTGGTCGGACTTGTTGGACTTAATTGTGATTCAGCGCTTTCGTTATTATCACTATCATTGGATGATTGGATTTGTGTATTTTCGAGTGTAGTCTGAATTTCTAGTTTTTGGAATGTTCTTTTTTGTTTGATGGTGGTTTTGGTATTAGTAGTTCCGTTTTTGGAGTATTTGGAAATTTTAGTTTCGGTTGTGATTGTATCGGAAATTGTTTTGGATTTTGGTAAAGGTGAATATATTGAAAAATCTTCGCCGTTCCAATGATCGCCATGAGTATTGTCATTGAGTGGGTTATAATTCCAAAGTCTATTTTTCAAATTCGAAAATATAATTATTAAATAAAAAACAAAACCGAAAGATAATTTGAAACAATGGAAAAATACTCACGTGAAATTTACTAAATTTCGCTCCATTGCACAAAGTACGGCATCCAGAAAATTACTGTGATGGGTGTAATCACCCGTCTCAAATGCTTTTTTGTCATTAATATCCATAGGAATTCCACACTCGCCAATCACACATGGCGTTTGGCCGACGTTTCGAAGCCCAGTTTGTACAATGTTCTTTACTTGACCTGTATAATTTTTTTTGGCTCCTGTAAGACCAAAGTAAGTGGATGATATTACATTCTTACCCTATTATTATTAGAGTATAAATAATAGAGTTTTGGATTAAATTAATTTAGAGTAGAAAAGATGAATTTTTTAAAAAAAGCTGCATAAAAATTTATATACCTTTGATAGACCCTGAACATCATGTGTTATAAGTCCATCAAAACTTTTTGTAAACAAAGATTTAAGATCATACCAATGTGGAGCATATATTATACCCTTATGATGATCTGTGGCTTCATATTGTGGTGGCATCTATATTATCAAAAGAACACTTAAACTCGATGCAAAAATTTTATTGCCATAGATGATAATAGCAAGAACATAATAAATAATTCAGACCTCGTTCGGAAGGGGTTCGATAAATATAAAATAATCCTGCTTTGCACTTTGTATTCCTTCGGCATACTTGTTAATAAATGGCAAGTAAAAATCTCGGTAAAAATCCACTTTTTTTCCTGTTTGTGGGTGGTTCAGGAAATAACCGTGTTTCAAAGCTCTTGGTTTTCCATTGGCATCAACATCCCAGACTCCATGTTGTCGCCAGACACATTCATGCCCATCCAGCCATGCACGTTCACACTCCGAATTCAGTAGTTTTGTAGTGTGTTTTTTAGTTGGATATGGCCATGATTTAACCCATACTTCAATTTCTTGAGAAATGCCGTCGCCTAAGGCGAATGATTGAAGTGCAGAAGGGGAGTCACCAAAAACAAGTGTTGTTATTGGATCAAATTGGTCAAGATTCTTGAGACCAATATAACCTTGACTATGTTAAAGTAAAAATTATTATTCTTTTTGGAATAGATAATTGATGCTTAAAAATATAATTATTATTTCACTCACTGAGGTTCATTCATCATCTCGAATCCCATAACAGCATCCAGATGTTGTAAGCGCCTTTCAACAGAATCAGATTAAGTTTGAATAAAGATGACTGTTTCGACTCATTTCTTTAAATGAATAACTAAAAGTAAATGTGATCAATTTTACCTTGCCAAATATTTATAGCAATCGATGAATTTTCCCTGAAGATATTCTTTAAGGTTTTTATTTTGATATGTGGCATTAGGAGCAAACACATCGCCTGCCCAAAATAGCGTGAACATGGTACTACTAGCTAACTTTGTATAATTTGTTGGCCAAACCATCGGCTGAGGAGGATCGCCGGCTTGATGATGGACATTTTGCACATAAGCAGCACCGGTAGCTTTGAAATTAGTAATATCCATGCCTGCAACTTCAAAGGTCCACCCAGGCGCACCAGATCCTCCAGAAAAACGAGACCACTATTAAGTCAATACAGTAAATAATAAATATAAGAATATCGTCTTAGATAAGAATCTTAATAACGTTTTTTTGCTATCCAAATACATACTGCATCTTGATGCGGATCTATGAAACATTTAATGCCGTATTTTGGCATCTCTTCGATAATGCCGATCAAATAGTCAATAAATTCATCATCATAAATGCCACTAAAAAAAATAAAAAAGAATTTTAGTCAAAGTCTAAAAATTCAGATTAATGAAAATTCGGGGAAAATCTTTTACGAGTTGAGCGCGAAAATACTCATCGTATTCTACGCAAAGGCGAGCAATTATTCGAGAGAATTTCATATCTTGATTTATTCAGATGACTCACGGTCCAGCATGTTCCAAAGCTTCCCAAGGAACCAAAAGCCTAACAAAGGTTAAACCCCAAGTTTTTAGTCTAGCAAAATGTTGTGCAGCTTCATCAAGAGGAAACGGACGTCCAATAAAAGATACATTTCGATGATCAAAAAAACCTTCGCTTAAATACGTTGAGCCGTTAGGAACAGTAGGTAGTTTTGAGTGTCCGCAGAGATTCACTCCACGTAATAAACAAATTCTACCCTGCTCATCTTTGAACCAGCGACCCTCTGCAGAAAGTGTACCACTGGCAAACCAGTTCTGAGCTATAGCTCCTGACTCTCCAAGCGCCAATTCTGAAACATCAGAGTCAGGAGTTGAGTTGCCGGGACGTTTTGAAGTATCGGGAATAGATGACGCGTAGGAACTGATTGAAGAAATTGAAGTTGAACGTTTCAGTGTAGGAGCATCAAGGTGATGATGTGAGGGTCTAAAATAAAGCGACTCTTCATTAGCCCTACGTTCAAAAGGGTTTTCTCCGTCAGAAGAAACAATATCAGGTGTAGCAGGTGCTACTACATTTCGATCTTGACTTAGGGTTAGAGTAATGTCCACAGCTTGAGGAACTGTCATTTTGTCAAAGGTATTTACTATTTGAAGTGTTTATGTGTATTAATATTCTTGTTTCAAACTCAGAGTGAATTGCCTAAAGGGAGTTTTTATGAAGGGTAAATGTAAGTAGAGTGGCTTAGTAGAATAAAAGGTAAGGAATGAACGAAAGTGGGATTTAACAAGGTTAATAAAAAAGGAAAAGCACAGGATTAACGACAAAATAGAGTTACAAAACTGGCCGAGGCTTAGAAAATTGACCTTGGCAGATTATGTTTTATCTTCACGTGCGCTGTCAGTGGTTTATTAATTGATAGATTAATTATTGGTATATCGATATGCACAGTGCAACCAATCAAAAAATCTAGAACATTGTTTATTCAAATATTAAAAATTATCCTTTATTAAGAATCCTTGTGATACTTTCTATCGTTATGGTATATTAGATTAGGTATATGTTACTGTTACTATCTCCGTGTTTCTTGGCTACCTAACAAATGCGAAAAATCATCCCAACTTCCATTATGTGGTCGATGATGATCATCACCATCATTATTATTACTACTGCTACTATTATTATTAGGTAGCTGTTGCTGTTGCTGTGATGGTTGTTCTTTTTCTCCATCAACGCTAGCAGTACTACCATTTCCACTACTCTCTCCCTGTATAACAGTTTCTTCATCTTCGTTGATTTTTTCTAGTACATTGTCCTTATATGCGTCCATATATATGTTATCATAGAGTACTTGTGATTTTTCGTCCTCTTCCTCTTCATCGCTATCCCCAAATGCAGCAAATACTTCACGTGATGTCATGAATTGTTTTCCACCTCCCAACGGGATTAAATCGTCTCCCAAACGTCCGTCATCATCCGATAAGACAGCGAATTCGTAACCTTCTCGTTTTCTATTTTTATCCCAGAAACGTTTTTTGCCAAGATACACTAACCCAGCAAGGATAAGAGCAATTCCCATACCGACAATAGCATAATACAAGTTTGATTTTGGTATTACTTTTACGGCAGAATCGGTGATAGAACTTTCTTCCGAAGCTGTTTTGCTAATAGGTGTTGTCGGTTGTTGTATTTTAGTTGGTGATGTTGTTGGTCCCGAGATTTTTGTTAAGCCGATTGATGGAGTAGCAGATGACGCGGGAGGAATTCCAACCACTTCTTTCTTCCTTTCACCCCAAAATTTTATTGTCCAATCGATGAAAACACCCCAATTGTCAGGATTGCTGCGATCTCTTACTTGAAGCGTCCAAACTCCAATTGGTGACTCATCCCTAAATTATTTTCGTTTTTCGTGTTTCAATAAAAATTAATTTCCTTAAAAAGAACGTTAAATTGACAGACAATATTTAAATACTCACCAATGCTTGACACTCATGAAAGTCCAATTTTCCAAACCTGCTCTGTGCGTGTCATATATACGCGGAGGGGCTAATTTTGACCGAATCAATTTGGGACTTATCAAATCAACCTCGATATCTCCACGACGAGTATGATCAATATTTAAAGTGACAGTTACGTGCTCTAATCGAGAAAAGTTCGTGCTGTCGAGTTGACTCTGAAATATTTCAATCGAGGATAACACTCCCTCATCGTCCATTGGAATGCGTTGATCAATTTTTATTATTTCTGTTTCTATAGACGTTTGAGGTTCTAAATTTTTAAACGTTCTCGCATTTCGAACAATTTTGTATGCATCGATTTTTCCATATCCGAATTTATGACTAAAGTAGCGACCGGCTGCTGTCATTGACCACTCTTCATCTCCCAAGTCAAATGGCACGGCACTTGTTAAAGCCAGGTATTGCACATCACGCCATGTAAGATCCGGTCTATTAAAATAAGGTGATAATGTTCGTGTTTATGATAATCAAAGTGAGGCTAGGATAAATGCCAGCAAAATAAATATTTTTCTTATTTACCTAACCTCCAAAACAAGAGCAAATATTCCAGCGGCAATTGGTGCAGCCGCTGAAGTACCACCGTGTGTACTAGCGCACAAACGTTGACCGACATCCGTTGTATACTAGTTTCGCAAAAGATTATACATATAATATATATAAATAAATGTTTAGCATATAAAATAATGATTAACTTACAATATAGCTTCCGCCGCCACTACTATATGTAGTCACTAATAATGCTGAACATTTTTCTGAATAAAAAGGATGTCCACCATTTCGATCAACAGCACCAACAGTGATAGTATATATGCTATTAGTATATCCATCGAAATTACAATTATCGTCATTCGCTCCTCCATTGCCGGAAGCAAAAACAAAAAGACTTCCTTTGCCGGAACGACCATTTTCAATTCCATTGATCATTGCTTTTAGAATTAAGCCATGAGGAGCCTCGACTGATTGACCATCATCTGGAGGACCCCAACTACAAGAATAAATATGATTCTTATGATATTGATAATTGAGAGCTTCGGCTTCATCAGCGTCCGATATTTCTGCTGACAAAATTCGTACACCTTTTTTTAAAAAAAATACGTTTATTAGAGATCTAAGCATTGATTAAAATATAATAATCAAAATGGACCAAATTATAATACCGGATACTTTTGCATCCCATGCAACTCCTACTCCGCAAACATCATTTCGTAGTGCCGCAACTTCACCAGCACATCTTGTACCATGTTGATCATCAGAAAGTTTAGGCTTTGGTATTGGATTATGATCGTTAAAGTCATATGAACCTTCTGCAAACTATTATTTATCAAATAATTTAGTAATTATTTCAAGAACTATTGATTTTGTTTGTTACTCACGTAATTATCCTTTAAATCCTCACTATCCATATCCAAGCCATCATCAACAAGAGCAACAACAACATTTTTACCAGTTACACCTGCATTAAAAATAAATAATCATTATCTTCGATAAATAAACTAATTAATAGTATTTATAATAACAACAACAATAATAATAATAATAATAACCTTCTTGCCATACACCCGTTACATTAATATCGTTCCCACGTTGAACTGTATTGAACTTTTCGAATAAAATGCGTATTGAATATTCATAATTTAATGAAAATTCAACAAAGATCATCAAAAAAATCTTACAAGATGCCATTGATATTTAAATCCAGGATCGGAAATGCCAAGAGAAAATGCCAAATTATCAAAATCTACCGTTTTTTGAATATTTGTATTGTCAGGTTTCGGTGAAGGAATCTGTGGCGGAGCAGGTATCCGTTTATGTAATCGACGACGCAATTTCTGTTTTTCTACTGATATGATATTGTCAATTGTTTGAAACGACCTTTTATTAAAGATCCGTTTGCCAAGACTACGTTTTTGTTTTAAATCCTTCCATCTTCTAATTATGCGATCGGTGTTTTCGTCTAGTTGAATAGTATCTAAACTACGTTTATTGCGTTTGTTTTCGGATAATATTGTTTTAACTTTTGGAAAGCTGAAAAGGTGATGGTTTGCTAGCTCACCGATCGGTCCTTCATATGTTACATTTAATAGTGTGGCTATTTCTTTGGGAGATGCTAAAGAATCATTCAAAACTTCTATAGCGTAATAAGAAAATTTTGTATAGTCTCTTTTTCGTAACTCATCCGCAGCTTCAACTCTTGGACACAGAAATGTCGAAAGTGCAATAATTAAAATTATATAAAATTTTGAGGAGCACATTAATGCTATTGATATTTTTCCTCGTACCATAGCGAGGCAATCAGAATCTTATAAAAATAAAAAACCAGCCCAGACACACGGGTGCACGTAATAATATATAAAAGTTCTACAAGTTTAGGGATTCGAAATTTCAAGACCAACCGGGTAATTTATTCTTTATTGACGATCAGACCATCAATTTGATTAATTTTTCGGTGATAATGACCTTCATTTGGGAGCGTATCCAGCACAGAGACAAAATTTTTTCGACTTAGTAGTATACGTTATATTCTATATACTGTTAAAGTAATTTGGAAAAAGGTGAAGTAATTCGGAAGTTAGGTATAGAGGCGTTTTTGCAATTTGGTACTTCAGAATTAGAATTTGGACAAAATAAAATATATGTATATTAATTTATTATCCTTTAATCATTACATTATTGGATTACCTGATATGATGTTTTGTATAATTTTCCTTTTTTAGAAATTAATATCAACTGAGCCGGCTCAGCTCTCGAGAAAATAACAGCTCGGCCAACCGGAAAATTTTTAGTGGCTTACAGTCATAGAAAGAAATTCATGTGATTGGATAACATATTTATATACTTTAAAGTACTTTTTGAGAATATCATGTTTCACTAATATAAAATCACCGTAAAAACCATTTCTAGCTTTAAACGAACGTTAATATTCACTATGCAAAAGAATCTGCAAAGAAAATCCAGAACCTGACATACTTTACTTAGAAGACAAAAGACTTTACTATTTATTACTATTACCAACTATATATATATCTGCTATTATGCTGAAAACAGTCAAAAAAGACAAGCAAGATGTATAATGTAAGTTTAATCTTAAAGAAAAGCTTTATATACATATATCATTTTCATTTACTTTATAATCTTTAAATATAAATAAAAGTTAAGCTCGTTGGATAATGTGTATAAATGTGAATAAATACCAGTGGTGTTGTTTAATTATAATATAGGTCAAGGGTTGTAATGTGTCTAGTAAAGATATTGATGACTGAAAAATAGAATAATAACGATAAATAAAAGCTTCGTTAATTTCTTTGATTGATTTGATTGGTCAATAATCATGCTTGAATCGACATAAATTAGCCAATCACATGAATTTCTTCCTATGAGGCATACAGTTATCACGGGAGTTTTAACTAACTTTCTAAATTATTTTATTTTTGAGCAAAAACCCTTTATTTATTAACATTAGCAAGAAAGTGTGGGTATTCTGTATATTTTTTAGGTAATAGAAAAATAAAGGTGGTATGTTAACATTGTTTTTTTACTTGCATGAAATAAAATTGTCATATATATAATATATATCATTAAATTTTTAATATGGCTCTTAAAGTTTTTATTCGAAAATAAGGATCGTTTCTGAGATTTATCTCTATCAAGAATTATAAAATAAATTAATCAATGATCTTTGGAATTTTTTGATAAAAACATTATCAATCTAGAATTTTTCTTCTTGATAAGATTTTAACATATGTCAAGACGAAAACGTAATGTGCCAATACAACAACAATCGACTTCAAGATTTTCATCAAAAAAGGAAGAAATAACAAATGGCGAAGATCATATAACATCAGTTACTCAATTATGGACATTGCCTCGAGCAGCTTTATTACTAGTTACGCCAATTCTCGCGTCAACGGTTTTGCAAGTTTCTCCGCGTTATCTTGAACCACTATATGGAAATGTTTTCTCCTATTTATATTTTAAAGAAGCTGCTTTAGGTTCTGTGATATTTGGAATAATTTTAGGTGTCTGGGTAACTTCTATAGCAAAGAAATCCTGGGCTCGCCAAGATGATAAACAAAACGAAGCTTATTTGAGCACTTTAATTATGACAGGGATTGACTGGTGCGGCATCCTATTGGCTCTGTCCCCACTTTCAGTAAAGTTATTATTCACACAAAGTGGAACACTGGGTCCGTATCTTGGACCACATATTACTCAAACATGGTTAGCTTATCCGGTGCTTTTTACTCTGGCTCTAATAAACACATTAGTCTGTGCGAGACGTGAAAGAGAGAAAAACATTTTATTATATAGATGGGCAGTATACGTGATAATGCATATTGTGGTGATCTCGTCCTTAACATATGTCTTGTATAATGTTGTTGCGATGGGTCGTACTTGTCAACGATTATATTCCGGTGGACTCTTATTAGCATTGGTTGGCGGATTATTTAAGGCTCTTTTTCGTATCTATGGCGAGATCACATTATTAGAGGATTCTGCGCAAAGACGAAAGGCACAAGCACTTAAAGCAAAAAATGCAAAAGAAGTAAGACCCTTTGTGAGCACGGTACCACAGATTTTCATAATTCTTTTGGTGATTTATAATGCTGGATTCAATCCCCAATGTCTTCTAAACGTAATCAATAATAATAATGGCCAAAATAATTCGAAATCAGCATATATTATTTTAGCGCGTAATGAATCTGTCACAGGATGGATTGATATAGTTGATGATCCTACGCGTGATATACGTATTATGCGTGCTGGGCATTCGTTAATTGGCGGTGTACATAAAAGTACTTGGGAATCGGTATTCGCCTCATTTTATTATATGGAGGGTAAATTCTTAATAATTTTTTTGATGTTGTCGTAATTGATTCAATTTTTTCGTATTATTTTATTGATTTACCAAAAGTTTTTTAAAATAAGCTGTACAACTCGTCGAAGGAAGAACGCATGATGAACAGGAAAAGGCACTTCAAATGTAAGATAATAATTAAATTTATTCTGTGGAATTATCAATTTTTTTTTATATTAACTCAATAACAATGTTTGACAGAGGATTAGGAATTGGAGTGTCTGCATCTTCGCTTCAAGAGAACAACGTATTGGTTGATATAGTTGAAATTGACCCAGTAGTATACGCATTTGCTGTGAATTATTTTCGACTTGCGCCTCTTAATAAACCACATATTCAAGATGGTCGAAAATTCATTAATGAAGCCTCAGCTAATAAGTATGATTACGTCTTACATGATGTGTTTACTGGAGGTTCTGTCCCGGCAGCATTATTTTCCATTGAGGCTTTAATTCAGATTCAAAGAATATTAAAAGAGGATGGCGTGCTTGCTTTGGTAGGATTTGGTGTTATATTGTATTTATTTTTTCAGGGTAGAAAATGAACTTTTTTTCCTTTGATAATAGAATTATGTGGGATCTCAAAAATGGCCCGACGCTGAAGCATTAGGATTAGTTTACAACACTATCAAAGCGGTTTTCCCGTACGTAAATTGTTATCGAGAAGGCAGCAACGAATCGATCGAAGTATTTGAAAATTTGGTAGGATTTTTAAACTTCGCAACTAAATTTGACCTTAATGCATCATTTTAATATGACATGATTTCTTATACTTAAAAAAAAGGTATTCTTTGCTTCCGCAAAACCAATAAGTTTTCGTGCAATAACCACAAACAGTACACACACTGGTGGGTTGCGAGAATATATTCTCGAAACTTTTGAAAAATGGAAAGTAGATTTAACGCGTCTATCAAACATCACCGGAGTCATCACGGATCACGAAAATCCATTGAATAAATTGCAATTATCCTCGGCATTTGATCATTGGCATATTATGCGGGAACTGTTTCCGCTTGAATTTTGGTTAGATTATTAGTTTATTTTAGACATTAATTGCTGATAAAAATAGACTTTTTACTTTTTTGGCATATTTCTTTAAATGAGATTCATTGTGTAAATTATTAGTAGTTATTTCTTTTTGATTAGACAAATTTATGGTTCTTGATTGCATAAATTCTGATCCTTCATTTTCAGCCAAAGTAGTCGTGGATGGTTGATCTTTTAATAATGATAGTTCATCCATTATTTCATTCAGTATATTTTTGATCCTTTTATTGGCCAAATCATCCCTAAGGAATATAAGTCGAGGGGGTTTCTTGACACGCATTTCTCGTTTGATTGCTTCTCGTAATTGTGTTTGATGAGAACGTAATGTCTCTTCAATATCCGCCTAAATTGAGGTCATGTAAATGCGTGTAAAAGCACATTTCAATGCATGATGTATACATATATGTATGTATGTATGTATGCATGCAAGTATGCGGGAAAAAATACCTCAGAGTACTTATTATCCGACATTGGTATCCACCAGATTTGCGTCTCTCTCAAACTAGTTAAAGTTTCAACCTTGATTATTATTATTACTATTTATTAGTATTTATGATTATCCTTATTTATTATTACTATGCAAAATATAAATAGTCACATACATTTACGATTTTCACGTAAGAAGGTCCTAATAACTTATGAGGTAAGGTATAAAAACAATTTTTGATCGCACGTGATACACGATTAGAGATGCTTTGTTGCTTTTTCGAAAGTAGATTGTTAGCTGTTATTGATGGTGGTAATGTTTCAGTAGCGAATTTGCCTTCGTATTCGTTAGATTGTTGGTTTTTCCCGATTTCTTCTCTTGCTCGGCTCGAAGAGTAGTCGGAGGGAAATCTGTAATTAAAGTTTAGCTCACGTGATCTAACTCTCTTTGGGGGCTATTTTCTCTCCCAATGTAAGATCAATTGATTATTATATTATATTATATTATTATATATATAATGCATAATGAATGTTTAACTGACCTTGTTATTTCCTTGTCGAGCTTCTTTTTTCAAGGTTCTAACGGGTCTATTAATAAAATGAAGATACTTTCCAGGAATATAATGCGTTTTTCGCACATCATAATCTTCATTGTTAACTTCTTTGAATTTTCCTGCCTTCGAAAATTCATTACTGCTGAAATTCCGATAAGACCAGCTGCATAAACAACAAGTCTTCTTGTTGTATTTCTGATGACTATTATTGTTAATCGAAGGAAAAGAGGAGGAAAAAAATAATTTAGGATATCTCATTTCTCACGATTATGTTTGAAACACACAGATCATTTAGGAAATACGTAAACTTTCACGATGTAATGTTAACGTTAACAAAAAAAAAACAAAAAAAAACACCAGTTTTAGCAAGTCTAAAACTTTTGAAATGTCACGACGCAGCACTACTTTATCACACTTATCTTCTTTGGTTTTGCAAGGAGAAGAACATTTGCCGATATTGCAAGGCAATGGTCGTGAACTTTATTACTACTCGGTCATTCTCTGGACTCTGAAGGTTAATGCGGAAGGAGGATACACTATAACTCATCAATTAACTCCGAAAGGAAATTATAATGATATTTATAGTAGTGAAAAGAAAAGTATGACTATAACACAAAACTTTCTTTCAAAGCATGAAGTTAGTTTGGTGGATCTTGGTGTTCAAGAATTTGTGAGTATAATGAATAATAGTCGAGCTCATTATTACTATTTAACTAAATTATCTACAATCGTTTAATTAACCATAGACGGTTATTCCACCTGCGATTCCATATCTAAAATCACTTCGCCGACTCTCAATATCTTATAACAAACTCTCCAGTCTACCGTCCACCCTCTTTCAACTGAATGGCCTGCAAATTTTGCACATACACTCTAATCAACTACGGTCTCTTCCACCACAAATTGGACTTTTGACTGCACTTCGTGAGCTCGATGTACACTCTAATAAAATCAAAAGTATTCCACCGCAGATAGCGAAATGTACAGAATGCAATTGGTTGAATTTGGAGAAAAATCGAATCGCATATTTGCCTGCTGAGATTTATCAATTGAAAAAGTTGAAGCAACTTCGTGTTGATGGAAATCCGTTTGCATTGATTGCTCATAAAAAGATTAATGATGAGAGTCAAAGAAAAGATGGGTTATTTGATGATCAGGATGAAGATGACGACGACTATGATGATTATAATAATATTCGCCATCTACACTCGACTGGCAATTTAATGCTATTATCTGATATATGTGCCCAGGTTGTCGGCACCACTTTACTGAAGCAAGGCTGTCACTTTTATTGCTCTGGCAAGAACTATAATATCAATAGTCAGTCTTCAACAAGCTGTGATGGTGGTGGAATAAAAAAAGATAATGCTCTACAAAACGCAGAAAATTGTATTTTCAATTTTCTACCTATCGATATCCTGCAACGGATCGTTCCACCACATGATTACCCACCTACAGTTTGTTCTCGCTGTCATACACCATTGTTCCATGACGGTGTCTGTGATTATTATTATTATGGGGATCAAATGATCCCGGTCAAGCATACACTTTGCTCTTATGAGTGTCGTGTAAAATTACGAAAAATATTATTTGTTCAAAAACATTTAAACTAGTGTATTCAATTTTGCTACTTGCTATCGCTATGTCTTTATTTAGCAATATAGTTACTTCAGGGTACATAAAATATCAGTATGATATGAATATCCAGATGAGTATGGCGATCAGATTACGATTCAGACTTTATTATATTTACTATGTCCCATCCATATATAACTTGCAAACCAGGAAATTAATATATACATTTTATTAAAAAATTCAAATTGTTATGTCATGAAAACTCAGTGATCAACCAATCAAATTACAAAAATATGTAATAGCAAAATTTTGCTAAAAATGATTGAATTTTGGAATACAAGCTATTTTTCTTTTTGTTTTAATTACTGGTTATTACATATGTCTAACAAACAGGTTGTTACAATTTGATAATATCATTATCCTATGAAGTAATTATTCAATAAATATAAGCATTATGTGATATTATATCATTTGAATTGCAAAGTATTTGCATTCAAATATTAAAACACAAAAAAATATACTCAAATAATCTTTAATCTTTTGTATAATATGATTAGTATATTCCATCTTCCTCAACCCCGTGACTTTAGTGTTAGTCTTAGCCAGACAAAAATAAATTTATATAGTGAAGATACAAAATAAATAATAACAGGGTGCTAAAATTTTCGTTTATTGAATTTTTTTATGATAGAAGAAATGAAACCACACACACACGTAAGAAAGATCTGCCCGTAGTGTGGATGAATAATAAAATGTGTAACAAAAATCGTTTTTAAGCACACAGTCCTTCCTCATTTGTGAAGCTCAAATTAGAGAAAGAATTACCCTCAGTACCAATACTATCAAAATACTATATATACCCTCGATCTCAACAGTTAGCGCATTTTTAAAAAAGAAAGAAACAAATAACACTAGTAATAAGGATGGGATTTGCTAGAAAAAATTAAAAGGTACTAGTAACTACCTTAATTTAAAGAGAATAGAACGTAAAAGTAAAAAGCAAATAAAGATTGAATGAAATTAAGCGAAAGGATAGCAATATTCATAAAAATATTCAAGTATTTTTTTTTTGCTATCCATTGTGTTGTTAAGATGATGATAATAATGATAGTAATAATATAGAAATCAATCAAACCATTCAATTCATTCGTGCCTTTTTAGCGTCAGATTCTTCGTCAATATCTATAATAAAAACGATAGAATGTTAATAAAGAATTCATAAAGATTGTTTAAAAATCATTTCGGAATTTTGTTTTACCGTCATTAGTGAATATGGATTCCCGGCCTCGTTTGAGATTAGCAGTGGATTCAGCAGAATCAAGGTTCAGGTTATCGGTTATTACATCGTTTGCCCAGTCTTCCGCACCAAAGTTCTCTTCACCTCCAATGCCATCGTGTAGTGGAGAATCCGCATATTCTTCAAAGTCTGGAAGACCATCTACGTCTTTAATGATTCAATATAAGCTTTGATTAGAATGCGGATTTTTATTTACTTAACAATTAAAAATTACCTTCTGTAGGGAATATATTATTATTTAGAGTAACTGCATGTGAATCTTCTTCGTCGTTTTGTGCAACATCAAGTTCATTGGTCTGATTTATGTCAATATTATCGTCGTTGATCTCTTCTGGAATATCATCAGCGAAGTAATCTGTGAATTTATTATCTACTTCTTCGTTTAATGGTTCTGAAGCGTCGAAAGTGTCATGAACTTGTTCAGCTTCTACATGCGAGGAAGTGACAGTTGAATTATCATTCTTTTCGTCATTAGTTTCCTCGTCACCTAATTTATCGTCATTTAATTCCACATCATCGTCCAATGGGACTTCTGTTTCTCCATCTAGATCTTCCATAGTAGACAAAGGTTGATCTCGGTCAGTTTCATCAATATCAGAGTATGGTGTGAGATCTATTAAATAACAAGTAATTGATATCATCAATGGTAGAAATGATTATTTTTTATTATGAATTAAAACAACAGTAAATACCGTCATCATCAATATTCGGTAACCCATTCTTTGTTCGATTATTCTTGGGAGTTAAATGTGCGGCACTCGGTTTACCTGCACTGACCGTTGGTTCGGTCAGAGGTGATTGGGCACCTTCGTTTGTAGGTGAATTTATGTATATAATATCGTCTCCTTCGTGAGTTTCTTCGTTATCATGAGTTTCTTCGTTATCATGAGTTTCTTCGTTATCATGAGTTTCTTCGTTATCATGAGTTTCTTCGTTATCAGTTTCTTCTTCGTTTCTGCTTTCGCCCGGGGTTCCAGGATCGGACTCATCGTCATCAAGGACAATCGGATTGTGTGGAAGATTACCTGCACTATTCGCTCTCGTAGCTATTATTTATTTTGAAGAGTAAAAATATCGATTAAAAAAGAAAGAGTATTTATTTGCGACATAATGTACTTTAACGTGATTAAATTTAGCTTACCTTCGGTGATGCTATACCGAATACGCTGTATCTGCGAAATGAAACCGTCTCTCAGCGTTAGAAGAATATGAAGAAAACTGGGAGGTAGATTTTTAGCCTTTTGGAAGTTGTAGTGTAGATTCAGGATATCATTTAGTGTATGATGTTGCGCGTAGTAATTTTCCTATTGTTAATTTTCAGGGATTTATTGTTAAAAATGGTTTTTTTATGACTGAATTACAATATATAATAATTACCTGAGATATAGACACTATAAAATCGGGATCATCGAGATCTTTAAATGTGAGAACGGCTTCCTGAAAATGTGCTTCATGGAAAACCAAATCTTTTTTCAGAGTCATCATAAACTCGCTCAATCTCATTTGCGTACGAATGGTCATTGGATTTCTAGTGCCAGCATATTCAAGAATGCAACGTGCAGAACCAAGACCAAAATCTTGATCTTGATCTTGGTCGATGTCGTTTTCGTCTTCTTGAGCATCTGGCAACGGCATTTCACTCTCTGACGAAACATCGGAATTTTCATTTTCGTATTCATCACCAACTTCATAAGAATTATTATTTTTATTAACAAGATTTTTATTTTTATTTTCTATTAATTCTATTTCGTCGTCTTCGATCGTAACAACTTCTGCATCTGAATTATTATTAGTAGTAGTAGCAGTAGTAGTTGGTGCTGTAGTAGTAGGAGCAGCAACCGGAACACTTTCAGCACTGTCATCATCTAAATTGAACACAGTTCTATCAATTTCATCAGGAGGCGCCGATGTTAAAATATTATTATGATTATTCAAGTCATCGGCAGGTTGGTCCTCCTCCTCTTCTTCGTCGTATTTAATATTATTTTTTTCTTTTCGCTGCTGCTGCTGCTGTACAGTCGACAATAATGAGGAAGAACCATTTTCGCCACCTTTTGTGATATTATTATGATTATTATTTTGTATTGAATTTGTGATGAAAGTAGATTCAACCTTTGTTATTGTTGTTTCTTTTCTAGGTTGAGTCTGATTAATTGTTGTAATAGATTCCGCAGCAGCATCCAAGTCATTACCGTCGTCCAGACCAATGACTACCTCTTCTTCCACTTCTTCAAGTTCGTCGTTCTCTACGCCTAAATCATCTCTTAGGATAGTATCTTCGTTCAACCATACGAGCTCGTCTTCTACCTCAGACTGTATTAGAGGAGGTGCTTGCCCATGCTCTCGATTTATTACTAATGAAGACATTTTAAATTTCCGATGTCGCTGCAAGCTGTAAAAGTAAAAAGTTAATGAAGCAAAAAAGAACTACAGTGAGTATTCTGTTAAATTGTTTAGTAAGGTCCCGTTGTCGTCGTTGTCTTAGTAATAATTGTTGTATATTCTTGACAACTAAAAACACCTGTCAACGAGAAACACTAGAAAATAGAAAAAGTGGTAAATGTAAAAAGTGGTGAATGTGTTGGAGTCCACAGGTACCCTGCTACATGTAATAGATATGTGTATGGTGGGCCAATCAAATTTAAGACAGTAAAGGAAGGTGTAAAATCTTTCGACGTCATTGGACAATGTAATTTGTGCAGATTTATATTCGTTGATGGAAATGATTGAAATATCTTTGATGTATCATAGTGACATTTTTTCAATTTTTTACTGTATGTAGTTAAATCGAGGTCTGACTGTATAATATGAATATTATGGAAATGTACATTATCACATTATCGTTAAATAAAACATATGGATCAAATATGATGCACCTCTATTATACATTCACATTCAGATTTACTAATAAATTCATGATATAAAATTTTTTACCAACGCTAACGCCAATTGATTCAAGTATGTAGGATAGAATGATGTCTAAAGCCGAAAATTCTATCTATCGATCGATCGATCATCAAAGTATTATTGTCACCTGAAAATCAACACACTCCTTTCTCAGCAATAAATGTATGACAATAAAGACCATTACGTCATCTATATGTCACAAGATAGTCACAAGATAAAAAGGCTGACCAACTGCTTCCCATATCCCCCTCCTCTCCTTTTTTTCACAGGAGCAACTCTATTATTTTAGTAACAGAAAAACTGTGACCACCACACACCTACCCACGACTGACTACTTTCTAGTTCACCTGACACAAAAAAAACACTTTGGGATATTCAATCCGCTCTGAGCGTTATTTCAACATACCACACCTTACCTGTAGAGGAATTCGTATTCTTTCGCTTTTTACCTTCTCCATAAATACTCGTTGCGTTAATAATAATAATAATAATAATAATAATAATAGTGGTAGTAGCAACTCAAAAATACTTTTATTTGGAAACCATTAATTCACACTAATGTCGACCACCGAAGATTCTGCAATCATGAACCTGGTAAGCTCTTGTTTTTAGTATTGGTCACGGTTGGGAGCAGACTTATGATCCTTTAATTTCGCCCGTTAATGTTTTGATTTCGGTGTTTTTGTTTACGTTTTGCTTTGTCATGCCTTTTACTTATGTTAAATACAATAACGCAATCACAATAACAATAACAATAATACCATTACTGTTCACAACAACAATAGGCTTTCAAAGAGAACTCTCCAAATAATCAAGGAAATAATAATTCTACGAAGGATGACAATGCCGCACAAGTCGCCTTAACTTCCGCACCTTCGTCTAGCCACAATAAAATTGCAATTCAAGCCAGGTATTTTATTCTAATGGAACATTTCTCATGTCCATTACAAATTTAATATTAATCAAATATCGATGAATTAATTCATTAATTATAATAGTGCGAATAACCAACAGCAGCAACCACCGCAAACACCTACCAGCACCACTGGTGCTGGTGTGAATACTCCTACTATGTTGACCAATAATAATAATGCAGAAACAGTATTGACGACAACACCCAACAAAATTAATACCAAAACTTATAATAACAATAATAATAATAATAATAATAATACGAATAATAATAATAATACGAATAATACGAATAATAATAATGGATCTACTAATCCAACCACTCCTACTTCTAATACGTCAACATCTACATCGTTGTCAACAACAACAAACACGACGATAATTCCACTTCAGCCCAAACAGGAGCCAATTGCAATTCATCCTGCTCCTCTGGCGATTCAACCAGCGCCACCGATGACTCCTCAACAACAACAACCGCAGACACCGGTAGCAGTACAACAAGCACAAATCGCTGCTCAGTTACAACAACATCTTCAACAGCAAACTCCAACGGCTATTTCTAGTACTGCATCTACTCCTCTTCATACGCCTCAGCATCAAATTCAGCCACAACTTCATCATCATCCTCTAAGACCGAACACAGTATCAGCCACAACAACGCCACAAACCACACCTTCTGGTAAGCCCCCCGTCGGCAGCGAGGAATGGCACAGACAACGTCGAGAAAATCATAAAGAAGTAGAACGTCGTCGTCGAGACACTATAAATGCTGGTATTAATGAATTGGCGAAAATTGTCCCGGGATGTGAGAAAAACAAAGGCAGTATTCTCAATCGTGCAGTCCAGTATATTCAACAATTAAAGGAGAATGAGGCTGCTAATATCGAAAAGTGGACACTGGAGAAATTACTAACCGATCAAGCAATTCAAGATTTGCAAGCACAACTCGATATGCTTAAATCGGATAATACGAGACTTCGCTCCGAGTTGGATGAATTACAACCGGCGAAAAAGAAACAACGTACTGAATGAAACAATAATGGGTGATGATGAATCACTAAATCATTATAATACATTTCATATATATACACACACATATATATATTACTCTCTTCACAACAAAAAAGAATATTCTCTTCTCTACTTCTCATATATGCTTATATTTTGTGTTCTATAAAAAAGTATATTTACTTTTGATGATAATTGCTTCTTTTTTATATATTCTTTTTTTTTACCTCATTATTATTAGGATCCCTTGTTCTTTGTCATCCTTCTATTATGACAAGAGCGCGAATATGATAAATAATCATAATAGCAGTAATACGAGTATGTAGGTAGGTAAGCAAATGAATGATAGAAATATATAATAATACATATATATTTTTATAATTATTTTCTTTTTTATTTTTTATTTGAAAATTTTTCTTATATTCGTTCTCTCCCGTTTGATTAATCCTTTCGATGATATTTTCATTATTTTTATATGATTATCTTTTATTAAACGGGTCTGAAAATTGTATATTTTTATTTAGATTGAATTATTACGAATAAAATCTTGGTTTTTCGCCTTTTTATTGTTTTTTGTTGTCTTAGAATATCCCCTATTACATTTTTTTCCGAAGGTATGATCGACAATTCATCACATGATATTTAAGAACAAAACGCACCTTTTAAACTTTTAAACCCCTTTCCGATGTATGTCATTGTAGTACCCTAGCCATGGCGAAAAAAATGTACGGTGCACATGATCTGAAATAAGTCCATTAAAATATCCGTTTAATATTAGATATCAAGTATTAGGGTTAGAGTTGAGATCAAAGGTATATATAAAATTGCCTTCCCGACATTTTTTGATAGTGCGCCGAGTTAGATTCAGACATCTGTTTTTTGTATTTTTCGCATTTTTTGTCTTTTCTCATTTTCTTGTACCGGATTTGTTTTGTCGGGTTGATCAAAAATTTGCTACATTCCTATTGGTTGCGCAGAATTTTTGCGCATTCTAATTGGTTGGATTGGTTCATCATCACGTGCACGTATTATGTAATTCAGTATGTTAACAGAATAGTAGTTTTCTCAAGACGCGTGACGGAAGAAAATCAAGAATAAAGAAATCGCATTAGTTTAAGAATATCTGTAAAAATGTAACATCAACGGAGTCAAAACAATTTTGATCCGATCATTGTAATTTTTTCATTTATATCGTATCGGTATCTTTGTTAGATATTACCGTTACTACTATTACACATATACACTAATGGCCCTGCAAATAGCAAAAGAATCTGCCTCGAACTCTTTATTTCGCGATTTTAATAAAGAAAAGCATCTATTCGTTGTTCAAAAATATGGGGGAACTAGTGTAGGAAAATTTTTGGAATCTATTGTAAATATTGTAAAGTAGGCATTTTTGAAATCTCGACTTTTTTACAGTTATTTCGTGCAAGAGAGAACATCTCACGTGTGTAGAGAAAAGTAAAGCAAGAACCTTTGTAATGTATATATTTATCGTGTTCCTTTCTTTCTTTTCTTTAAAAGGTCACTTTTACATTGTTCTCCTTTCATTTCTAAAGTCCCCCAAACTGTCCCGTGAACGTGAACCAAGTAAATTGATGCTTCAGTATTACCCTATAGTGGTATTTGAATGTGATCTCTTGCTAAATAATTAATATGGACTTCATTTTCCAAAATGAAATCAATGATGTAATTTAGTTAATAATTATATTCATTGATACTTTAATAATGATCAGATCATATCTAGAAACAAAACGAGTTGTGCTTGTATGTTCTGCTCGGAGCGGAGAGACAAAGTCTAGAGGCACTACAAATAGGCTATTAGCCGCTACGGAAGACGCTCGCAATCCTACATCCAGAAAATACCTCGACATACTCGATGAAATCTGTAAAGATCACATAGACGCGGCAAAAGGACATATCCGTGATCCGGAAATTCTTGCGGATTTGGAAAAAGAATTGCAACGAGATTGTAACAACCTTCAAAACTTTTTGAAAGCCGCACAAGTAATTTCCTCTTTTCCCTTTTTCCATCTGTTATGCGTGTGCTTCTGTTATTTAGCAATTTCGAAATTTTTTATTGATTACCAAAGGTTATCGGGGAAATCTCACCGAAATCCAAAGATAACATTATCGGGGTTGGCGAAAAATTAGCATGTCGTATAGTGACTGCTGCATTAAGGGATAAGGTATGTAATGTTGAATAATGTGTTTTCATATTAGTTACGTTATACTTATAGATCTTTAATTAAAGGGTATTGATGCGAAATTTGTCGACCTAGTTAACATTATCGAAAAAGAGTTTGATCCTAATAACCTTGGCCAAGACTTTTACGACTATCTATCGAATTGTCTATCACGAGAGGTAATGAATTGTGGAAACAGTGTCCCGGTATTGACAGGTAAATCGTAGATTACTTATCAAAACGAAAATAATATACTTACTATCATAATGCAAACTATTAATAATACAAAACATTAGGATTTTTTGGCTCAGTTCCAGGCAGTTTACTAAACAATATCGGACGTGGATACACTGATCTTTGTGCTGCCCTCGTAGCAGTTGGAATAAATGCCGAAGAATTTCAAATATGGAAAGAAGTCGATGGTATATTCACTGCAGATCCACGTAAAGTCCCACAAGCGCGTCTTTTGCCAATCATCACACCCGAAGAAGCAACCGAATTAACGTATTACGGATCAGAAGTGATACATCCACTCACTATGAACCAAGTAATACGCGCAAGAATCCCCGTTCGTATCAAAAACGTGGAAAATCCACAAGGGCAAGGAACCGTAATTTTCCCCGACATAAAACTTACTAGCGAAAATGGCGATAGTGGCATCAATAATGACAACAATGGCAGTGTAACATTGTTCAAAAATGGGCATACGACACCACCTCATATTCCCCGACTATTATTCGAAAATGGATATCAACACGACATGACACGGCGGCATCCAACCGCTGTCACCATCAAAAACAATATCATCGTGATCAATATACATTCTTATCGTAAAGTGGCAAGTTATGGTTTCTTCGCGAGCATATTTATTACGTTGGATAAATATGGGATTGTGGTGGACTTGATTTCGACGAGTGAAGTTCATGTGTCGATGGCGTTTTGTGTTGAAGTAAGCGAGCGCGATTTACAGAATGCTATAGGAGAATTGCGAAAGTTAGGAAGTGTGAGTGTTATTTGTTATCAATAAATATAATTTATATTTAAATATTTATATTTATATTTAAATATTATTTTATAAAATTTAGGTTGACATATTAAAAAATCAAGCAATCTTGAGCTTAGTCGGAAAACAAATGAAGAACATGGTCGGTATTGCCGGTAAAATGTTTACCACATTATCAGCCGCCAATATCAACATTGAGATGATATCTCAGGGTGCATCCGAGATCAATATCTCGTGCGTTATTGATGAGCATAATGCCACAAAAGCACTGAACGTTGTTCATCGGGAACTTTTGTCTATTTCCCCCGCTCTTAATATAAGGAATGGTCCCTGGTTTTATTAATTTATTATTAGCTTACATCTCCTTTTAATCATTATTTAATATATAAGAAATTCCACTTATAGTAGTATTAATAATAATTAATGTAATAAACATCATTGTATCAAAAAAAAAATAATATACATATCAAAAAACGTGATCAAAAAAATCCGACGCTCACAATTGGATGACGTGTCAAATGTAAACTTTTGAGCAATCAAGTTTTGGACGCGCCTTGGTAGGTCTACTTTATTCTGCATTGTCAGAAAGTATTTCACTAACTGTATTGTGACCACTACATTTAGTTAATTTATTTCATTTCCGTGTGTGTGTGCTCAAACAGACATATAACCTATCCTATTCTCTCTTGGTTCTTTTTACACAAACAGTCAGAATTACACATTTCTTATTTACAATTGAAAGTGTTGTGTGTTGTGCAAAAATACACACGATACATACAACCATTCTTTTATCATTATTCTTTTTGTAAAAGTATGGTAGCTGAAATCGAAAAACACGGAGACTATATGGACGTGGACGACGAAAATAATAACGATGGCAACAGTACTGAATCTGCAGACCGACAACCTATAGAGATTAACGACGACACGGAGGACAGTAGCGAAGAGGAGGACGAATATGTCGTAGAAAAAATTGTGGATCATAAATTATTAAAGGGTGTAAGTATTGATTTCTCGATTTTGTTCATTAATTTGATAATGTGTTTCATAATGAATTTTTTTGAAATTGAAATATAGGGCAAGCTGCAATATTTTTTAAAATGGAAAGGGTATCCTGATTCAGAAAATACATGGGAAAAAGAGGAAGACGTGTAAGTCTTTGTGCAATTGCAAACTGAACACAACAACCACACGTATTGAAAACATTGCTTAATTATTATTATTATTAACAAAAAAGTTATGCAAAAGATTTGATTGAGGAATATTGGAAAAAAAACGGTGGTAAAAAATCATCTACTGAAAGAAAAAAGTCATCCGTTGCTTCTTCCTCAAAGACCACCACAAAATCCACAACAACAAGATCATTTAAAGGTCCACCTACTATAATGAGAAAAGTTCAACAACCCATGAAAAAGCGGAGAATCCGTCACGCTATTGATAGTGATGAGGAGATAAGACAAGAGTCTTCAGACGAAGAATATCCTCCGCCTGGTTGGACGAATTGGGAGGATCACGTCGCCGAAGTCGAGACTGTGGAACGAGATAATAAAGATGGATCATTATTAATTTATGTTAATTGGTAGGATCCTTTTTGACCGGCAGTTTTATTGATTGAGCGATTAAATCGAGTATTCCTCTATTGTGTTATTAGGAAGGACGGGCATAGAACTGTACATCCGGCTAGTGAAGTGAATGTTCGTTGTCCACAAAAGGTTAGATTGATTCATTGACTATATTATATATATGTTCACATCATTAATATCTGATAATCACTGATAATTAATATCAATCAGGTCATTCGATTCTACGAGACTCACCTGCGTTTTAGAAATGTCGAGTAATAAAATTAATAACATTAATAAAAATAACAATTGAACTTATGCTTGAATTTTGCTTATACACATGCACCTCACTTCACATAATCATCACCATCATCATCTCCGATTAGTAGTAACTTTAAACTAGGTGTTTAGTTTATCTTGCTTTGGATTTTTGTTTATTCAATTTTGCACTTACTGATGATATCATGTTTATTTGTTATATTTTCAGTATTCAATTATTAAAATTCCTATTATTTAGTATCTTTATTATATATTTATTGCAATTTTAGAAAATTGAAAATAGTTCATTTTGTATACACAATTATATCACGACGAAGACCTAGCAATTATATTAAATCTTAGTCAATCATCCAAATTAAGATAGCAAGAAATAAACAAAAAAAAAATAAAAAAGAAACCAACCTTTTTCTAATCCCCTCTGTTCAACTACATTGAGAAAACGACATGACGTATACCCAATTTCCTTCAGAAGATAGCCGTGAAAATCCTTTGGGAAGAAGTTTGTATTATTATAATTCCTGTTGTGAGTCTATATTATGGTGAAGATAGTGGAGTGCGTCAAAGTGAGATAATTATGTTCGTTACGCAATAAGCAAAATCAATTGGCTTACAAGTTTTCATTAAATACCTCTGAAATGTGTCTGTATTTACGATAGGAAGACCATGGTTGAGGTTCAATTAGAAAAATTCCGCCAGGTTTTAAACTATCGTATATTTTGCAGAAAAATTCCTTTATTCCAGAATCTCCGTAATGCAAATGAATCCATTTTGTTATACTAAGCCTTTAGTTAATGAGATGTAGTCAATAAAAAAACACGTAATTCATAATGCGATTGGATATATAAAAAACACATACGCAAGAATCGTATCGTATTTTTCTTTTTTAATTGTTTCCTTCATCCAATCAGCACAACGAAACAAAATATTATGTGGAAAATGTACACTTTCATCATCGACATCCAACGATTTTTTATCAGTTTCCATTTTGCTTGGCCCAGCAATTATAGTCGAAGTTGATTGAATGGTGCTACAACTTCGGTGATTAGAAATAATAGCGACCAATGAGTCGTCATTTTTTGTTTCATCTCTTTGTTCTGGTTTGATTTTTTTTGCAGGATTTTTCTTCGCACTATTGTTATTTGCGTAATTAGTGCTGAAGCTGCTAGATTCTGCTTCTTCTGCCGGAAAGTTTCTTTTGCGAAAAGAACGTTCGCAAGGCACTGGAATCGATCCGGACACATTTTCTGATGAAGACGATAAGCTTTCAGGATGTGTGCTACTGCCACTCTGGCATTCATTATTCTTTCCTTTATTATCGTTTTCGAAATTGTTGATAAAATCATTATCAGATTCCGTGATTTCAGTGTTATTATTACTTTGACCAGATAATTTTCCATTATCGTCTTTACTTTCACTTTCGATATTATTATTTGATCCTGCGATTTCATCGTTGTTATCGTTTCGACCGGATGAATTATTATCATTATTTGGCAACAGTAACATATATTTTTGGCGTACATTAGAATAGGCCCTTTCAATTAACTTGTCATCAATATCGATTCCCAGAATTTTCTCAGGTAAGAAACGTGTCGCTTAAAAGAATAATAAATCAACACGTTAGTTAATCTATCTGTTCAAAAGATCAATTGCAAAATATTTAGATGATATCCTGTTTAAGAAAAAAATACCAATTTCAATAGTAAATTCGCCAGAATTGCATCCAATATCCAGCACTTCTTTTCTTTCAAAGAAACTTTTATCGAATACTTCAAGTCGAGGATCATCTTTGACTGTTGCATCGTTGCGTCGTTGATAATACCCCATATAATTGCCGTAGGGTTTATTTTTTTGTGGATCAGAGTTCTTTTTGGTTTTGGGATTATTACTATTATTATTATTATTATTATTTCTATTATTATTATTATTATTATTATTATTATTATTATTATTATTATTATTATTATTATTATTATTATTATTATATCTTCTTGTTAAAGAGTTCTCTTTAAGGTCACCAATACCAAGTAGTTTGTTGGCCTTGCTATTTATGTGATTGAAATTCACGCGTCGCGATGACCATACACGCACTTTTACCGTTGTATTATTGTATGTGTGTGCGAGATATGGATTAGCTTTGGGTTCGCTTGTTTTTTCTGTTTTTGTCTGGACATTATCGTTATTATTACTTTGGCTTTCGGTGGACTCGTTCATTTAGATTCTTGGAGACGTTAGAAACAATTATCAATTTTTTAACTTAATAATGATAACGTGTTAACGTTAACTAATAGCGAAAACGACCAAAGTTTATAATCTATCATTATAAATAATATTTATTATATAAATACGTAGTGTGATAGTAATCACTCAAGTTTAGAAATTGACAACGATTGCGGGACAATTTTTTGTTTAGGACGCTGTTCACCACGACGACCACATTTACCACCGGCACTACTACCATCCGAAAAATTTCCCGGATGAGTTTCAAGATCAAGATCATCAAGACCACCACCAGTATTGAGCGTTGCCAGCGAATCGTTTAATTGAATCAACCGTAATCGATAAATTATCTCGTCTAGCGTGAGTTCTATGTGACAGTGATTACGGATTATTGACATTTCTGAATTTAAAACAATTATGTGGTCAAGTCAAATATACTTTTATTTTAAATAGTTTTCTTGAGAAAATCACAAACAAAAGGATACTAGGCCAAGTGGCTCTTTCCCCTCGTAACGTCGCATCTTCCACCAATTGTGGAGACGGATTAGATAAAAGATTCAGAAAGCCAGCATAAGATATGTGCGGCACTATTGTAATATCGCCATAGTAACGCTGTGACATCATTGCCTGTAATCGGTATATGAGACTCGTCATAATTCCAAATTCACTTAACTAAATATTTTTTGGTAACAAATAAATTAAAAAATCCAAATTCCTAAACAAAAGAATTGAGTTCTTTATGACAGAAGAGAAACTTACCTGCATAAGTCGATGCTGCAGTTCGGAAATGGCCAAGAATAAGAGCCATCCAACAAAGCGATTTATGAAGGACGGAATCAGACTAGTCTGCAAGAAAGGAATAACGTGTGGATTTACTGATAATAACAAAAATAGGCGTTTTTTTAATAATATTGTTAAAGATAATAATAAATGAATGGATAAATAGCTGAACTTGAGTGTTTTTTGTTGGTTACCTTGACACACAATAAAATGGTTGACATTAAATAGTTCAGATAATTTATTCATTGGTAAATCGCTGGAAAATCGATTAAAGGTTATTGTATTATTATGATTTCAATTTATTCTTTAAGTAAAAATATTCAAAAAAAAAATCAACTTACTTTTCTACTGAGCCATCAATCCAGCGATGACCTTTTAATTACAAGATGAATTTAAGAAACTGAACCAAAAAAATAAGAAAAAAAAAGAATCATACAAGTTACCTTCAGGATTCCACGGAACAATTTTTCCTGTTTTATCTTTTGCCATTAAGGGCGCCGAACTATATACCAAAGGGACTGAACACGACGCTGAACTATAAATCAGTGCATAATTACTACGAGAAAAAATGAATGAAAATCTAATCCAATATAAAACTTACACTGCCGACCAAATCAACTTTTTATTTTGAAGAGGAACCACAACACATATCAATTTGTTATATTAAAATTCACAAGTAATTTTTTTAATCCAAGAAAATAAAGAGCTTTATCATCATCCAGTCACATACCACATTAGGAGCTGTTAAATAATTAAGTAGTCGTGGCATTTCGTATACTGTAGAAGAGCTGACAGTTATATTCAAAATCCTCCTTGTACGATTGTATGCTTCCTATACGAAATAACAACGAATATAAATTACTTGAAAGATAGATAAATAGCGGAAGTTTTCTAAAAAGCAAAAAAGAAATACATGAAAAGTCATATCTCCGATATTTTCACGCATGCATTCTCGAAGAATCTCAACATCAAAGAGCACACCTGAATAAAATCCAATATGGATGAGTTATTTACATATCTGAAGCAAAAACAAAAGGGAAATATACAGAAAATTAATGAATACTCACCCTGTTTTAGCAATCTGGTCAATCGCTTCAACCATGTGTCTGGATCGGAGGATTTTTCAAATGTTTCCTAAAACGATAAAATTCTCAAAATTATTAAAAAAAAGTAATCAGAAGAAAATTGGGGAAAGTTCTTTAATCTTACCAAATTCACTGAAGAGGCATGTGCAAGAAAATGCGGTATCTCAGCATCAGTTTTCGTGCACACGAGGGCTGCAATAATCGAGCCACTAGAAGCTCCAGAAATAATGCGAGGCAAGAGTTTGCATTCATACAAACTTTTTATTACACCAAGATGGGTGAGTCCTTTAATAACAATATTATTAAGTTAAATAATGACTACTAGATTTTTATGAATGAGTTAGAGATACAAACCAAAAATAGCCCCTCCACTCAATAAAAGTGCTGTTCTACCAAACGACTGCCTAATATTGGTAAAAAATTCTAATTTTGCTTTGGTAGTAATTTCTTCTGACGGTGTATCACAAATAAGATTCAGATGCTTTACAACTTCTTGTATGTAGATTTCTATAAGTTTTTTGGTTCCGATATTTGTATATGCATATAACTTTAAAAAATAAAATCAATTAAATATATTTCCCAAGGGGGTCTTCTGTGTATAGTAATTATTCATAATTAATACCTTTGGCTGACCCATGTCTCCCAAATTCCTAGCCAGTGATGTACGCAACAGAAATATCATATATGCTAAATCCCCAGATTTTCGTACTCGTTGGAGTTGTAACAAACGCCCTTGCAGTAAGTCATAATCGTAGTCATCTGAAGCAGGGTTAAGTTTCCATACATCCTTTCCTTTAAAATAATGAAAACCAAATTAATTTGCGAAAACGTTTCAAATCAAGAATTTGTTATATATAGTCTAGTTAAATCTTGAACTAAAAAAAATACCTTGTAGACGATCCAACTCAGTAGCAGCAGCAGCCCATTGCTCATAGTTTTCAGCGAGTGCAAGTTGACGTTTAAATTCAGCTTGAGGATTTTGCGGACGAATAACGGAGTCATAGAATTTCTAAATATAAATTGTGGTGTGTACATGTACATGTTTTTGGTACCGATATGATGCGGAACTGAATGAATGTAAAAGATATTTTATGAACCAATTCTTGGTAACTAACACATTGTTAATACATACCTTTCCCCAGTAAGAAGAGACATCAAACAAAACAGCCTTTACGCTTGATGCAACAGAAGAAAACGAAAGGGTGCCAATTTCTTGATCTTCGGTTAGAATGTCATCCTGTTCGAACAGTTCATCTTGGTCACTCCACATTTCAACATTGCCGGTGTCCGTTGGTGAATTCATTGGTGTATAGAAGATAGATCTCGAAGTTGTCTTATTCCTTTCGAAATTTATTATTTACATGTGATTATCAGTCATAAATTGATTGATTTACTGTTACATTAAAACAGAATTCACTGTCTGACACATCAAAATGAACAAAACTGTGCCAGGTAAAGAACCAGACACTCCTTCTGAAAATGATACACGCGTCGATATAGTAGTCTCAAAGTCACCAAGATCCCCGCTTAGCATTTCGACCTCTCCACCACCAACACCGCGCCGCTTTTCTACCTCTTCAACACGTAGCTATGAAACAACCGAGTACTTTCCCAGCTCACCTGTGAATCAAAGAGTCTCCACCACAATATCTTTGCATGGCTACAACAGAAAGCACCACCACACTCGAAGGATCTCCATAAACTCGTCCATGTCAATTTTCAGCACAATGTCTGAAACTTCACTCCCGTGGACAACAAAGGTACTTTTCTACTAGTAGTTTTATGAATGGGGTTATTTCGCTTTTATTGATTATTTATTTATTTGAAACTGTGAACTTGAAAAAGGATATCGGCTTCAATGGTATTTTAATTTTATTACGAATTTAATAAGCATAAAAAATAAGGCTAATAAACTTAAATTTATTCATTATTTATTAAACAACATTAGCCATCTCCGGAGTGTTAAATAATCCTAATAATAATCCATATTCGAGTTCTGCAAAGCCATCAAAATATGAGATTCCGGTTGTACCCCATACTTCTATTCGTAAGGTGAAGCCTGTCGAATTTGCAAATTATATCAAATCCATCGAGCCAGTTTTTGAAAGATATTATCACAATAAACGAATAGGCGCGGAACGACAAAAGATTGGCAGATCATCTTCTTTATCATCGAGTGTTATTTCTCCCAGTGTATCCGCAACCAATTTACTAGTGAGTAATTTAACGAGTTTGCCGTCACCCGAATCGGAAGATGTTCCTGTACATAGGCTCGCCAGCTCAAGAAATCCTTATTCTGTCAATGTACCTTCTTCACCCTTGCTTGCTGAAAACATTCCACAGAAGGAAGAGGGGCCAGCAATAGAGTTGCCATTACTCGAGTCCGTTCCTCCAATTTATTTCGAGGAAGACTTTAATTTAGAAAATCCACGAACTTTTGATATAGTCTGTGAGCAAGCCGATGTGATAGGATCGAATCCCGAAATTTCTACGAATGCATTACTTCAAGAAAAATTAGCTCATTACCTTGATACTGTTGAAATTCACCTCGTTAAAGAGATTTCTAAAAGATCATCTTCATTTTTCGCGGCTCTCTCTAATTTACAAGCTTTACATTCAGAAACATTAGAATGTGTTGCACAAATTAATGCTCTTCGCGGGAAATTAGTAATCATCGAAGATTCAGAAGTAAAACAAGGACTCGAAGTGGTACGATTAAAACGTCGGAGAGCTAATCTGGGTAAATTATATGAAGGGATTAGAATGGTCTCGGAAATACACTCAACCCAACCCATGATACAAATATTATTATCACAAGGGGATTATTTCTCTGCATTGGAATTGCTTGAAGAATCAGACAGAATATTAAAGGGAGGGAATGTTTTCGAAGATCAATCTGATGAAACATCAAATAGTAAATTATCGAAAAGTCCACACCCTTTGATACGTCGCCTGAGTAATGTCTCGGAGAGCCTCAAGTCGTCTGGATTACTCGATCTTCGTGGAGTTAGAGCATTAATTCATTATAAAAGTCAGTTAGCTGACTTACACAAAACGATCGGTGTTATGGCGGAGACAGATTTGCTGAATATGATATTCCTTGACTTAAATGAGCACATTGAAAATATCAATAAAGATGAAGGTATAAGATCTTTATACAATTCTACACAATCAACTTCGCAATTTCAAAAGAAAGTCACGGTTGCATCCGACCTTCATAAGAGTAATGATAAGCTCGATAAAGAGATAAAATTAAGAGAAAGGGTAGCTCCCTTGATCGTAGGACTATATAAAATGAACCGTCTTGGTACAACTTTACAAATTTATCGGGAACGACTGTTAAAAGAAATCAAGAAGATTATCCAAAGGGTATTTATTTACTTATTATTTTATTTTATTTTTTTTTAGGTTAATGATAAAAAATTTTTTGCTATTTTTATATAAATATCAATAAATTTTTTGATTTTTCGAGTGGATTTTTAGCATTATCCTTCCTTTACATTACTGAATAGTTTGCAAGAGGAACAGCAAGCAGAATTGAAAGGAGAATCGAGGTAAATCGAGTTTAATAATTGTCATCGATAAATTATCGTCCACAACAATATAATTATTATATTTAATTAAATAGCATGAATGATATCGCGAAAATGCTTAAAGGAATGACATTTGATTCTTTTATGGAAATTTTTTTGGCAATATACGCGGTACTACTCGAAGGAATGAAACGAGTTGCAGTCTACAACGAGATTTTCATATCAATTCTAGAAGATTTACGCGTTGCAGGTGTCGAAGTTCCAAAAAAAATTGAAGAATTGGATGATGATATAAAAGAAGAAAAAGTCAACGAGAGATTAAAAGGAAAAGTTAGCCAGAAATTAAAAGAAGAAAAAGATAGCGAGAGATTAAAAGAGACATTAGAAAATACTATAAAAGACTCTCAGAATGAAAAGAAGGAGCTTGTTGAAGAAGCAGATGATAACGATAAATCATTATTGTCATCTAATGTTTCTACTACTAAATCAAAACTTTACGCACAAAAATTCACAATTGGAATTAAATCAATAATTCAAAAAGCATCGTCATCTGCTACGAAAACACTTTCACCAACATCAATAATAACATCGACAGATTCAACAACTAATAATTTAAATTCCGAATCAAATAAACAAACAGAATCCCAAACACCTATAGCTAACACTATTAACAGCAGTAGTACCTCGACTATATCAACAATAAATGATAGTTATTCACAATTAATAACAGAATCGTCTGAAATTGTATTTGCCGCTGCTGATTTAGTTCATGTGCGGTGTGCAAATTTGATAGGAATGCGAGCAGAACAAAATGCTCGACTTAATCCCAAAGATTTCTATCGGTTATTTAATGTTACTTGGGATTTTATATTGGAAGGGGAAAATTTATGTGGTCATATGTGTTTTGGGTTGCGAGGGACAATTATGTCACAGGTGAATGATTGTTAATATAAATCTCGCTAATAAATTTTTTTATATTTATTTATAACGATAATTGATATTTATTTAAGGCGAAATCATTTCTAAATCATTTCCACATGGAGAAAATGAATTCTGCAGCATCCGGTATTGACAATGAACAATGGGTTCAAACAGGAGTTCCAGTTGAATTTCAACGAATAGTTAATAGAATAATCGCGGCATCTTCATCTGGGATGAGTGAATTTAAAGATAATTTATTAGTAGATCCTTCTTTAACTAATCCACTTTCACCGAGTTATAATTCTCCACCCACCACCACCAACGATAACACCAACGATAACACCAACGATAACGCCAGCGATAACGCGAATACCACAAACAGCAACACCACCACCACCAACAGCAATAATAATGCAGATATCAGCAGTAGCTATATCTTTATGGAGGATCAGAAGAAATTCGTGGTTGTCTCGTGTAGTTTAATGTTACTTAAAACGCTGGGAGAGTATCTACGGTGTATGGCTAATATCCCTGTTTTGACAACTGATGCAATGAATAAGATAGTGGAAATTTTAAATGTAAATATTAATTTTTTCTCGTTTTATTTATATATATGTATGTATGTATGTGTTTTTAATTACATTTCATATTCAATAAACAATAGCTTTTCAATTCGAGAACTTGCCAAGTGATATTAGGCGCGGGTGCACTGGAATCTGCAGGCTTGAAAAACATTACAGCTAAACATCTTGGTATTTTTTTTTTGTTATATTTTTAATTTCTTGCATATAACAAAACAAAAACTATAATACCTTGTCGTATTGGTTTGATTGATAGCTTTGGCATCACAATCCCTTGGTCTTATGATTGCATTGATACCATTTATCCGTGAATGTATACGACATAATCTAAATACAAAGCAAGCTGTTATGTTGACAGAATTTGATCGCATCAAAGGGGTATTTAATACTATTGTTGATTATACTATAATAATTTTTTATTGAAAATATGTAACTAATTATTTATCTTTTCTCGCACAGGATTACATGAATCACCAAAACGAGATACATACTAAACTTGTTTCAATCATGAATCAAAGGCTGAGCGTGTATTTGGAGTCATTCCAGGTGTGAACAACAGAAATATTCATTTTGGTTATGTTAAAGAGTTTGTTGTTTAACCTCCCTATATTTATTTATATATTGATAGACAGTAAAATGGAATGAACCAAGTGAAAATGTGCCTAATCCTTATATGGAAAGATTAGTAAAAGAAACACTGATTTTGCACAAGGTCTTGCGAAAATTCCTGCCGTTAGAGACTGTCCAGGTAATAAATAGATCCATAATAATTTTTATTGTGGATTAGTGATTTCTATATTAAATAATATAGCATATATAATTTCATCATATTTTAGAAAGTGATGAGCGAGGTTTTCGTTTCATTCAATGCTAAATTGGCACAAGAAATTTCTCAAATTGAAATATCTACTTTGAATGGAAAAAAACGGTTTGTTATCAGTTAAGTTTGTTATTGATAATTATCGTTAACACAGTTTCTGATAACATCATTTGCATTTTATAATAGACTTTTATTGGATATTCGTTTGTATACGCATAAATTCTCAAATTTAGAGGGAATTGCGGGTCCGAAAAATGATTTAGAGATGTTGGTGAATAATTTAAGTGTTTCTGAGAATAATACTGCCAAGAGAGGGGATGATATTTCAAAAGATTAAGCTACTACACGATGAATGTTAGTTTATTATTTAAATAATTAATCTAATTTTCGCATTTGTATTTAGTATATAGATTTAATAATATTTTATTATGTTAATAAGATTAACGTGTAATAGAACGCATACGTTAATAAAAAATAAATCTAAAGAAGCAATTACCTATTATACATCAAAGACTGCATTTTATTTACGCCAATATTGACCCCACTTATGGATAGTTTCAATAACTTGCGGAAAAAGAGCACTAACAGAATCATTTATCAAATTCTGGAAAAACTTGATCGCTTCTTCCTCTGTAAGATCCAAGCGAAACTTTTCTTGAACCTTAAAAGTCATCATTATTACTATTAAAAAATCCAGACAACAAAAAAATTTCCGTCCAAAAAACATCTCAATGAAATCAATTACCTTCCAAACAGCTTTGTCAGGCTCAATCTTAATGTCTGGAATATTAGCATCAACCATCAACGCGAAAAGATTCAGAATTAAATTCGCGTTTTTTCTTAGAATATTGAACGCTACATAACAATAGCTTTTGAAACGTTGATAGTGGCTTGAATTTGCGCCACCCATTGCTTCTACCATTTCTTTACAGAGTTTCATTGGAGGAGGAAATGGTTTTGGATCACGTCCGAGAATAAACCCGAAATCAACATGGAAAACATGACCTAAAGAGAAATTTCATGTAAATTTGTTGAAAGGCTCGCAAAGAAATAATTTTAAAACATACCCTCAGGAGAAAGCAACAAATTATCTAAATGACGGTCTCCAACACCCAAAAGATAAGTTATGACGCAGTAACCAGCTGCGAATTCATAGAACATAATATTAATTAACTAAGAAGATAATTAACAGTCTCATGCAAGGGTGACAAGAAAATTATATACATACCACAGCTTTTCACATAAGTATCCATTACTTCCGGATTCACACCATAAGTCGCTAGTGCCTTTTCATCCGGATGATGAGCTTTAAGATATAGCAACAGACTTCCATTGTATTCACTCAAAATATTTGCCAGTGAGGAAGAAGGAATAAACTGCATCAGGCCGTGGTCTGAACTTGTTGCTAATACTTTGTAGGGCTTTAGCTTGAGATCCAAATTCTCTTTACGTAAAAGCTTGTCCATAAGCGTGATAATTTGAATGACAAGTTGATCTTGACGAAGGTCATCACCTGTTTTGAAGATTACCTTCACCAAAGAAGTAGAAGCTTCAGAAGGATTCTGATGTTTAAAAAAGGCAGTCGAAATAATAATGGCAAACTCACAGGATATTCAGTGCCACCCACACAAGAAAAGACGAGACTTAAGGGAAGTAAACTGCTTTTGAATACGGTACTTTTTTCTATAATCACCCGTAAATAAAATTATATATAATTATCTTGTTTCGAACCATTGGTTTTTTTAATTTAATGTACCTGGAATTATACCCGTAACTTCGATTCCCGCATCTAGCGGCAAAGGCAAAGGCGGAAAAGATAAAAGTGCATGTTTTGGATCTGCTATCGAAGTTCTAAGCATTTCAATCTAACCAAAATTATATATTTATATTTTTATTCCGGATTTCATCAAAAAAATATTAGTAATAAAAATGGTTACCTTTTTAGGCCTAATATCTTTTAACTCATAAATACTTTTCGAGATTTTTGATAATGTTTCAATGAGAACTCCTTGTCGTAACAGTATATCACGACGTTGTCCTCCTGAAAGAACCTATATAATACATGTAGTAATTCAACTTCTATTTTCAGGTTTCAGGGATAAAAATTAATATACTAAATCGATTTTCAATTGAGAATAATTAAAGTAAATACCATTGTCATTGCAGTCAGGTATTGATAAGCTACTCTTGCGTACATTTTCCCAAAAAGTTTATCTTCGCATTCGACCATCAGATACCTAGATAAATAATATTTGAAACTTATTCATTGATTACTCACAAAAAATTTTTCTTGATAGAATTTTACCAATGGAAATTATTTCCCAGAATAGGGTTCTTTATAGCCCTATCGATCAGAAATGCAACCAAGCTAGATTCATTTGATGAGCTTGATTTTTCACTGATATTTTCAAATTTGAATGCTTGTACGAGTTGCAAGAGATACAACAGAAGCTCCTAATAAAACAAAAAATTCATCAATATTAGTATTATTTATTTTATCATTATTATATTATCAAGGATTCATTATCATCATCATCATCAACATCATCAAGGAGGATGAAAAAAAGAAAAAAATACATCATCATCAGCCTTTTGAAGTTGTCCAACTGCGTATCCTCTAACCGCACGATTTACAAAATTGGCACCTAATAGCTCTAAAGAGTCATCCACGTCGATATCAGCCCATTGTGATAAAAGATCGACTGCTTGTTTCGCTTCGGTAGGATCAGTCCAAACAACACATTTCAGAAATTTGGTAAGTGCCTAATAAAAATGTTATTAGCGTTATAAAAAAGTAATGAATAAAGAGAATATTATCAAAAATATACTTTTTTATCACGAGTTAGATAAAATCTGAACTTCCAAAGCAGATCTTTTTCCTCGGAAGTTAAAGATTTAGTAGGAGGATATTTCAAGATTTGCTGGTAAAGAGTAATAATATTAATGAAAGAATTTTTATTATATATAATTTTTTTATGTTGAAGAATTAAAATTCAATACGTTTAATTCATCTCGAATTTTTGCGTTTGGTTTCAAGTCCCGATCCAGAGGTCCATTACGATGACTTCTGACTAAACGTCTATGTTTGGCTTCAACAGGATTTTCGCAAGTAATTTCCGGATCAACGATAACATTCATGCTAGAATCAATTATGGTTGAAGGAACAAATTGAATTGGAGCTGACGTAGTGGATAAAGGAGGCGCAACTGATAACTCGTACTCCTATGATATATGAGGATGGAAATTATTATTAATGTTGAATAATACAGAATTTTGGTCAGAATACTCACTGGCTCACTGAAAATTGCTGGGAAATCTTCGAATTTTGGTAATATTATATAAAGATACAGTTTTTTTGATTTTGATGATTCTCGCTAATATATACAATTTATTTTTTTTATGTTAATTTATTATTTTTGTATTACATAAAACCAAAGTCATTATCCATATACTTGCTAACCTGATTAATCTTTTCTATTTGACGAAAAGCCAAATTGTCTAGCCATTCGAGCCTGTCTATATCGTTCTTATCATATCGCTTTATAAGCTAATTTAATAAAATGTGAAAAAAATTAAAATTCACTTAATTAATTCTTCGACTAGCCATAGTGATAACAGTAAATACCTTTTCTAAGCGATCCATTTCCCCTCGATCATAAATTTTACTTGTGGTCGCTGTATGCACAGATCCATCGGCTTCACGTTCTGGCCATAGATATAACTTGTGTTTGCCTTCTTTCAAAGAACTTTTAATCATCCAAAACATTATTAATATTCACGACAATGTCTATTTAAAAACGGGTATGATATAGGTGGAGCCATACGTCATTAATCAGAGAATGGAGCATTTACTTATTCTTTCCAAACAGACGAATTGTGGTGCCACCGATGGGAGCTACTTTCCGTGGACCTTGAATGTCCCAGACCGTGAGTGCTAACTGTGCGGTGACCGGGAGATCACGATATTTAATTGGAAGCACTAGCCATTCATTCCATCTTCATCGAATAAAAAAGGCCAATTCAATACAACGTTCATTAATCCAAAAGCAAAGGAAACTAAGCAAACTTACGCCCATCTATTTTCGAAAGGCTTGTGAGAGGTTCGTATCGGCACAGTTAATGGTTTATTATCAGCGAAAATCTGACATGTTACATATATATCCGAGTAATCACTGTAAAACCATAACATTTGGTTATCGAACAATTCCACACACGAAATCAGTTTGTGCGTTTTTCTACCTAGTTTGAACTCCAGTAAATTTAAGAGCAGGATCCTCAAGTAGCGCTGTAAATGGTTTCTTTTCGCGAGATCCCTCAACAGTCGCTCTATAAGAAAATAAAGCGCTGATTAGATAAGGAAAGGTGAATTTTTGGCCCAAAAGCTGACATTTTAACAGGTAATAACAAATCAATGTCTTTCGTCAAGAAAAATGAGTAGGGAAAGTCTTTTGACTGAGCAGTTGCATAGTCCATAATGAAAATAGAACGACTAAATAAGTTACCAGAAAATGAATTTTAAATTGATGTACACAGAAATCTTGTGTCTGATCAATATTATTTTAGTTGAAAAGTTTATTACACTTTCACCCGCACGCACATAGAACTTTTATCATGTTTACGCGCGATCGTTCTTCCTCGCTTTTTTTAGGTGGCGAAAGAATTTCAGGAAATGAAGTTCGTAATCAAAATGGTAGGTAAATGTCTGGGTGAGCAATATTGAGAATGTCAATGAGGCCATGTAACTTTATTTTTCGAAATCAAATGATTATTTGAAATGCAAGTTTCTCGGCTTTTACATGAGGATTTAAGATAATGTTTACAATATTTTTTGTTCTAACCCGCACGTTCTAGTGTTGGCGGCCATGTCCATCGCTAACATAGTAAAAAGCTCATTAGGACCGGTCGGACTTGATAAAATGCTTGTCGACGATATTGGGGTAATAATTTAAGGTTAAATATATAGTTTCCTTTATCTTTTGATTGCCCAAGAATATAGTAAAAAATATGAATTCATCATATTCAACGAATAGGATGTTACTATATCTAACGATGGCGCCACGATTCTGAGTCTTTTGGAAGTAGAGCATCCTGCAGGACGTGTTTTAGTGGAACTTGCCCAGCAACAAGATAAAGAGGTCGGCGATGGCACTACTTCTGTTGTGATCATTGCAGCTGAGCTTCTTCGCCGAGCTAATGAACTAGTGAAAAATAAAATACATCCGACAACTATTATAACTGGATATCGATTAGCGAGTAAAGAAGCATGCAAATATATCGCAGATCATTTAACCGCTAAAGTCGATACACTTGGACGCGAATGCCTAGTTAATGTTGCCAAGACTAGTATGTCAAGTAAAATAATTGGAACGTACGTAGAAACACTGTTTTTTGAAATTTAGTAAAAGAATGGGTATCATTATTTTGACCCCATCGTTTGTTTGTTTTTTGCTGACTATATAAAGTGAAGATGAATTTTTTGCGAATATCGTGGTTGATGCTATACAATCTGTAAAATCTTCGAATTCCCGCGGAGAAACCAAATACCCCGTCAAAGCTGTTAATATTCTAAAAGCACACGGGAAAAGCACACGGGAATCAATATTGGTCAAAGGTTATGCGTTGAATTGTACTGTTGCATCACAAGGTAATTACTTAAATTTGACCTTTTGTAATTCTTTAAATGTAGTAATCAATAATTTGTTTTTTTAGCAATGAAAACAAAGATCACAAATGCAAAAATTGCATGTCTTGATATGAATTTGCAGAGAGCAAGAATGCACCTCGGAGTTCATATCACTGTTGATGATCCAGATAAATTAGAAGATATTCGCAAACGGTTAGATATTATCATTCAAGTATCTCGTGTAATATATAATTAATCATATTGGGTATTTTATATAGTGAAGCAACCATAACCTTGGAAAAAATCCAGAAGATTCTTTCGACTGGGGCTAATGTAATTCTTACCACCAAAGGAATTGATGATCTTTGTCTCAAGATGTTTGTGGAAGCTGGTGCAATGGCTGTTCGCCGCTGTCTCAAAGATGATTTGAGAAGAATTGCCAAAGCCACCGGAGGTATTTATATATATTTTTTTTCTCCAATTTAACTAATTTTGGTATTACTATCTCTGGTCTCTGATTGCGTTTCAATTTCTAGCAACTTTAATATCGACACTGGCAAACCTTGAAGGAGAAGAAACGTTTGAACCTTCATACCTTGGCGCGGCCGATGAAGTCGTACAAGAACGCATCTCTGATGATGAATGTATACTTATCAAGGGAACAAAATCTCAGAGCTCAGCGTCTATTATTTTACGTGGAGCAAATGACTTTATGCTTGATGAGATGGAAAGGTCTTTACACGATTCACTGTCTGTTGTGAAGAGAACATTAGAAAGTGGAAGCGTGGTGCCAGGTGGTGGAGCTGTTGAAACAGCACTGAGTATTTATTTGGAAAATTTCGCCACTACATTGGTATTTTGTTTGTCTTTACTTAGTCACCTTTTCTTGTTTTGAGTTTTGGCCATAATATTAAGAATTGTGATCTATGTATTGTAGGGTTCACGCGAACAACTTGCTATAGCCGAGTTCGCTAATGCTCTGCTAGTAATTCCGAAAACCCTTGCAGTAAATGCAGCCAAAGATTCAATTGACCTAGTTGCTAAACTTCGAGCTTACCATAATGCGTCCCAGAACGCAAGACCGGATGATCCGACCAAAAATTTAAAGTACTACGGATTAGAACTTCTCAAAGGCGAGACTAGGGATAATCTCCGGGCTGGTGTGCTTGAGCCAGCTATGTCAAAAATTAAATCGCTTAAATCTGCTACAGAAGCAGCTATTGCTATCCTTCGAATTGATGACATGATCAAGGTTATTACAAACAATTGTCTTTTAATATTAAAGTTTATTGTAACAATTCATCATCTTTTGTCTTTTGCATGTAGGTGGAGCCTGAACAGAAAGGAGGTCATGAAGATGATGGACACGGTCATTAAGATAACAGAATTATATTCAAAGATGGTGGTTCTATTTATATTGATTGTTTATTAGAGAATATGTTAATAATTCATTAAAATAAACTAATTGATACTTTGAGATATTGTTTTTTAGATGCAACTTGAATAAAAATTATTTTTCTTTGTGCTACAAAATTTTGGAATTTTATTAAATAAACAATAGCGATAGCGATATATGCATTAACAAGTAAAAGCATTGCTATTTCTTGATCTTGAATATTAATTCTGGTTTTGAACCAAATTCTGCCAAGAGGATCGACAATGCCAAATTTGATCAATAATTAAATACGCGTTTGAATGAGATACGCGTTCACATTCTCGTGATAATAAATAAGTAGCTTTGAAAAACACGGTTTTTTTACAACTGAGCAACATTTCAAAGAAAATGTCGGATATAATTCAAGGTAATCAGGAACTCACATATATATATATATATAAATATTCAAGAATAATGAATATAACATTTACAACCTTCCTTAGTTGAAAGCGTTCAACAATCAATATTTCACGAATTAACACGCGAGTCTGGACTAGAGCTTGGCACACAAGGACAATTAAACAAGTTGGGTAAATAGATAAATTTGACACACACACATATATACATATATATGAGTGTATGCTAAATATCTTTAAAAATTTCAAAGTGGTTGAACCTTCGGTGTTCCTATACGGAATTATCCAAAAATTGAAGAATCATTCACAATATCCCAATCCATTGATCGAACAATTTCTCGAGTCGTTACAAGCGCATATCGAGGATAACGCACAATTTCAGGCATGCTTACAGCCTTCAATTATCAGTGGAAGCGCAAAATTGTTTGTAATAACAATAATATTATTTGTATCAGTTTTAAGAATTTTTAAAGAGATTTACTCACATAATGCATTATTCCTCCGCTTTTTAAGTGTTACAACTAACAACAGCATCATCCAAGTACTATTATCGATCGATTTTCTGCAACCGAGACTTATTGATATCCTACTGGAAAAGCTTCCGGGATTTATAACAGATTCAGATAATGAGTATGAGTCATGAATTTGTGTAGATAATTAAATCAACTCCATTTGCATATTTATATCAATATAATTTTATAGGACTGTCTGTTCGCCTATCCCGCGCTTGATTATACATCAACTGAAATGGCTCGGATACATTGTTGAACCTGATCGCTTGTCATCTAAAATATTAGAGGTGAGAAGCAAACTATAAGACGATGCAACTTTAATATAAAACGCTAAATGATTAATTATTCTTTAAGGTTATTTCAATAACACCTATAAATATACAACGAGAAATCATAATAAACTTGCCTGAAATAGTCGATGATGATTCGCAACATAACGTATGTATGTATAATAATATTCTCTCGTATTATATATTTAGATTATTTATATTGATCGTTTCTTTAGGTGATCATTGACGAACTCAAGACTTTGATGGAAGAAAATTATCAATTAACAGTGCCTATACTTGACGCGCTCTCGAATTTCATAATGCATGGAAACTCGATAAATGAACTACGCGATGTTATAATTGAGCGATTAGAATCTGCCGACTTGGCCGATCTACCTATTGTTTTAAAGTTTCTATTGCAATTTGTTACTCCCGATGACGTTGAAGACGTACATATATTAATTATTGAATTCTTATTTCTTTGTGGAATGCAATTAACTAACGATTATATTATATTTTAGGTTATCCAAAGTATTCGTAAAAAACTTGATTTCCGATCCATTGGAAAACTTCAAGAAATGAACAAGCAGAGCAAAAGCTTTGGAAAATCTAAAAAAGAGAATATGCCAGAGACATTAATATTTGAGTCAATCAAAACTGGAATACAATTTCATAAGTTTGTCAAAGATGCCTGGTTGAAAATAATTACGGAATTGAATTCACCGGTAAATTAGCCATTGTCAAAAACTTACATTCTACTTAACCGGTTTTCACAATTTAATAATTGCATTTTAATAATTAGACGGAACATGAAATCCTCGATATCTTAGTACTATTTATTGTGCATTCGTTTCGTTCAATGAAGAAAAAAGTAGAACCCATATTTCGCAAAAAAGTCAGTAGTGGATTGATAACTCATCAAATACTAGAAGAAACTATCACATGTCACTCAGAAGGACTATTCGAATACTTCAAATCAATTATATCTCTTTCCGAGGCCCTCCTTCGCTCAACTCAACAGCATTCGCAAATATCGCGTGCTGCATCTATCATTTACAAAAGCTGCTTTAAGGTATTTGAGTTAGAGCATCAGCAAGAGATTGTATGGTCTTTAGTTACACATATTGGAAGTGGATTGCCAGCAGAAGTAGATTCTGCGCTCGCGGTCTTACTTGCTTTGGTGAAAGAAGACTCCAAGAAATTATATTACTTTGCAGTTTATTTTAAGGGAATCTTGGATTTTCTGGACAATTTGAGCTTTGATCAAATACGCGTATTATTCGAGATCATCAGTAGATTGGCGATTGAGGTATTTTTATAGTATAATACTGTCTTCAATTCATTAATAGAAATCTCTCCTCATGTTTTATTCGCTTAATAACCAATATAGGAGGTTATAGAAGATACTACTTCCGGAACAGCCAGTGGTGGTGGCTTACTTTCTGAATTCTCTATTGTGATTCAAAAACGATTAGCGTATCCTTCTGAGAAAGATAAACAAATAGGTGTTATTGGCGCGTTGACTTTGGTGCGAACAATGGGTTCAAAAGAGGAATGTCAAAAATTCGATCCGTCATCATCTTTGGGTTCAGGTAGATATATATTTAGAATTTTATTATTACATTGGGATATTAATTGCGGAACATTCAATATCTCTGATAGATGAAGGTAGAACGCATCCATTATTAAATTCTGCGCTAGAGAATCTTCAGAAACTTCAAAGTAATATTGTTGAATCGAAAGTAAGTCGCGAAAACCTACATTTATTGAGCCTTGATATAATCGATAAATAACATTAAATTTTTTTTTAACAATAACAATAAATTTAGAGATGTTATTCGTTAATTTATGACGAATTGGCGTATTTGATCTCACATAGGTCGCTTGATAGTAGAATTGAATCTTGGATCAAAGACAAAATGGCTTCAAGATTCACAGATATTTACGTGATTGATATTGATGAAACCAACGACCTATATAAGAAAAAAAGTTCCTTGCAAAATTTACCAATTGAAATATGGATGCACGATAAAGATGGTACCTTTATAGAAAGTATACCAATTGAAACATGGATAGAGTCGGAAAAAACGGTAAGAGTTTCATCTCTGTTTATTGCGGATTGTCTGTCTTGCTCCCAGTTAATTCATCTGTTTGTATGCTATTTTAAAGACGAACGAATCTGTCTTGATCAACATCTATCCTATGCTCTGTGCACCGCACGTTAATGCTAATCAACAGTTTGTGGCTGACCAAAGCGAGTGGATCATGTGTATCAGTTCTATGTTCAAACTGATGCAAGCATGTGAGAAAGCCGATAAGGATTCATTGGATGATATTGATGCTTTATTAGGCTCGGGAATTGTAATGTACAAGAAAAATGAAGATCATGTTGCAAGTATCATAAAAGTTTTTTTCTCACTATGTTATTGCATTGTTTATTAATAATATAGTTTAAAATTAGTCGGAGCAAACAAACAATGCGAACGTGACTCAAGATGTAATTTGTGATTCGCTATTCATTGCTATCAATTGGTAAGTGGAGAACTTTTAAGCTAGATGATTCTAAAAGTGATAGCGATAGATATTTTTTTTATACTAAACTAAATTACAGGTTCCGAGAAATAATCAATTCATTCTCTGAAGATCATTCTGATATAGATTTTCACAGTGAGTATAAATCATTTATTTTATCGAGTTTGATTCATATTAAATTTTCGTTCGTTTCGTATAGAAACAGTAATAGCGAGGCTACAGCATGTTGAAAAATTAGAGAAAAAGCTCGAAGAGGAGTTGGCCAATTCTTCCCTATTTCATCCCATTGGATATAGTTCTTTAACAAGGAAAATCGGGGTAGAACGTAGAAATATTGTTATTGAGAGAAGTAAACCAGCGACGCAGGCAAGTAATAACACTAAACAACAACAACCTAGAACAAGAAGACGTCCCGCCATCATCGGTAAAAGGAAGGCTTTAAGTTCAAGGCAGCATGCAGACGAAGGAGAGAAAAGCAAATCCTCAGGAGACTCGACATCTAAAACAACTCTTGCAGACTTGCGACCTTTAATGCGAGAATTCGAATGGCATGTCTTTTATCTATTCAAGTATGCAGATTTGAATATTTTTGAACAAGACTCAGGAAATATGAATCTTGATGACGACAATCAAAATAAAAACTGTTCGCAGAATCCAAAACTTGGAATATCTCAAATGGTTTATCTATTAAAGGATCTTGATAGGAAACTCGAGTACAAACTATCTTCTTCCACCATAAGCAATCTTCCATTTTTCGCGAAAAAATCAAAAAAACTTGATAATGATACTGGACTCAGTTTGATTTCACGACAGAGTGAATCAGAAGTGGTCGATCATGTAATAAAAACATTGCCTTTAATATTAAAGCAATTCGAGGTAATAAGTGAAGGGGATATGGTTATGAGTGAGCAAAGCGAAATTGATGAAATTAATCAATGTATGGAATTGATCTTGGGGATAATTTATCGGGTATTTTCTTGGTCCGGTTTGATGAGTCCGGACAAGAAAGAGACTGTGATTAGACTGCTAACACATTTTCACCCTTATAAAACGGATAGCGGCAGCAGAAATACGTCTCAAACTCTATCAATCCAGCAAGCTGCGACTAAAGCATTTACGTATTTAGAAATATTTGCTGATAGTCTATCAACTGGCAAACTTGCAATCTATTATCACAAGATACTCTACAAGATTACAGAAATGGCTTCTGATCCCAAAGAATTCATAACAACTATCAGCACGTTAGCCAAAAAATTCGCCTCCCATGAATGGAAAGACACAAAGCAACTAAACTCTTCATCAATAACCTATCTAATAGAGAACGATATCAAACATTCCGATGATAATTTGGAAAGAATAGATTATTATGTTTCAAAGATTTTTCCCGCTCTTGAAACTGACGACGAGCAGACCTTGAAGGAAATACCGTTACTTAACACAGCAAACTTTCCCGATTTTTACAAAGTCGTGTCAATGGAGCTGATAGGCTTGATGAACGATAAGTTATGGGATTTCGAATCGACCGAGATGAAACTTGAATATCTGGCAAAGATTGTGAAATGCTGGAGACAATTAATTACAGTGATAAAGTATAATCAGAAGCGTGCCATTCTTGCTATCGCATTGAAATACGGCAGAAATTTTGTTGATTTATTTTCAAAGAATGCTATACCATTCATCGATCTACACCTCAAAGGGCATCGCAAAGAAATCCAAATAATATTCAAATATTTCCAAGTAGCTACACGGCATTTGCAAGTAAGAAAATTTATTTCAAGATTGCTATGATTGTGCAAATATATAAAATATATACATAATATTTTCACCGTGAAATTATAGGCTCTCTGTATCCACGTAAAAGTCGTCAAAGAAGTCAAATTATCGAATATGGTGCCTCTAGTTAAGAAATCCTTAGAGAGTGTAATTTTCCGAGTGAAGGGGATTCTGCAGCACAATGATTTTGCTGCAGAATCTTTTTTCCTGGGAAATCTCAGACAACGAGATTTGGAAGGACACGAAGTGAACACGGATAGACTTGTCGAACCTGAATTACACAACGACGAGGATAAATCAGAGTCGGAATTGGATGAGCAGTATATCGCCGAAATAGAAGATGAAATAAAGGGAGAAGAAAATTCCGATGTAGAAAGTTCTGTTAATCAAGTAATATATATTTATTTTTTAATGCGAACCCTTAATTGATGTATTCTATATTTATATTTTGGATATCAATGTATATATATATACAGCCTTCAAGATCAAAGTCGACAGCATCTTCTAGTTCAAAAAATACACGATCTTCCATATCGAGATCAATACAAAATTCGGATGATGAAATGAAATCCAATGATGATGATCACGGCGAAAGTGATGAAAATTCAGATATTTCAGATTCTGCTAATGATAACGAGGCTGATGAAAACTCCCAGAAGAAACGTCGGAAATCTTCAAGGGTCCCTGTTTATGCAAAGAGGCCACGAAAAGATAGTAGCAACCAACCAGCAAAAAGGAAAAGGGAATCCTAGTTGTTGTTAATGTCTTTGATTTAGTTTTATTGCTTTCTTTTGGTGATCTAATGTGTCTTCGATTTAGTTTTTATTATTATCAATTAAAAGTTCTAATTCTGATACATGAAATTAGATATTAGAAACATACTTTTAAACTCAAATCACAAGCTGACTTGCCGAATTTGAATCTATATACTTTTGCTGCTCACGTCAATCAATTTTTCTGTTTTCCGTTTACAAAGGATATTGTAGCATATGGGCTGAGTGCAATAGAAACGGTGTAAATTGTATTAGAATCTATAATACAATTTACGCTGTTTCACTCAGCCCATATGTTGAGGTAGAATTAGAGAGCTATTATTCGTAAGATTTGAATAGATTTTTGCTGTGGAGACTGGTGCAAGATGGATTTACCACGAAATCAAACGAATTACCATTAAAATTTGGATCGAGGTATAGTTTCATGGCGTTTTCTGTAACAAAGTAGGTCAATAATTCATCAGAGTCCAAAACCAGTTGTGTCGTTTGGCTTTCCATCAAGTAACATCACATTATATGTGAATAGATCACAACAAAAAATGGTTGGTTTGATAATATTGTTTATGAAAAGTGCAAAGCATATCGATAGAATCAGTTTTTTACCGAATATGTCAATTCTTCTCTTTTATTTTTTGAATGAATATATCGAAGTTATCTTGTATAAACTTAAAATACAACACCTAAAAAAGAATATTACAAAAAGAATGTGTAAAATTTATCGTCATCACATTTTATTGCAAGGGATCATTTTCTTCAACAAATTTCATGCACTGTTTTGGTTCAAGATTACAAATTGACTTGCTCGAACAAAGGAAAAAATCTGAAAAATGATCCCAGTCTAGCATTTGGCATATGCATATCGATATAGAAGGTGGTTGTCCATTGAATAGTAAAGCCCCTGCTGATCATTAATTTGTGAGCGCGAATTATTAAATTTGATTCATTCATTTTTTTTGCTCAGTTTATACCAAAGTACCGAGGAGGTTTACATTATAAGGCTTGGTTTTATTCTAGTTAAACATATCGCCCGAATTTAAGTCAAGGATTGTATAATGAGTGACGCCTCTAAAGGGAAGCGTGTGAGCATCATCAATGGAATCGAAGTATTATTTTTAGAAGTAATCATGCAAATGAATTTTCAGTTTAGTTAAAAATACAGGGAATCCTTGTAAAAATAATTTCCCTGGAAATTCTCCGGAAGATAGAAAACAAAAAAATTCCATATTACGTAACGTTAATGTGTATGCATGTAAACGACTAGCTCGAGTATGCTTATCTGAGACTATTTCGCACTAATACTTGAACAAGCAGTGAGCGCTCTTCATTTTTATGGTTGTGCAGCTAATTATCGATCGATTAAGACTCTTATTTTCTCGAAAGAGGTCAGAAACTTTATGCCTATAATATTAATTTAATAAAACCGAATACGTACATGCATAATACTTTTTGAGAAATTAAAATAAATTAACGGTAATAACACGAATTAAATTACAAGAGAAATTATAATTATTATTTTAGTACTATTTACAAAATTTTGAGCGCGAAAGTCTTTTTTTGTACCGTGAAAAATTAATCAATTTGCTCATACTTGAGCAATTCCATCCATTGCCGTTGACTTTTCTTTGCCGATAGCTTCATTATTTGTTGTTGATATTTCTTCTGGAGTCGTGTCACCATTAATAACTATTACTGGTGTGTTATTATTATTATTATTATCGTAATTATTATAAGGATGTTGTCTATGTTTCATAACTTTCGACAAGATTAATAATCCGGTAATAATAGAGGTTGAAATTGCCACCGCAACAAAACAATACAATACTGAGTTTGGCCGACGCATTGAGGATATTGTTCGGAATACAATACGATCATATCCATCATATGCCGCAAACTAGTAAAATAAAATTAATAAATATTAATAAAATCAACAAAGAAATTAAATGAATACACGTGTAAGAAATCGAGGTAAAAACACTTACACCCCATAAGAAACATGTGATTACCGCTTGCGCGACTGTATTTAAGTTTATTAGTCCGAGTACCCAAATAAGTAATCGCATCGAGTCTTTTTCAGGATCATACCATCCAGCATACTTTTTAATTATCCGTAAACGTTCAGTTCTTATTTCGTCGTTGTCGTTGTCGATGTTGTATTGCAGTTGTAACGCTTGTTTGAGTGGTATTAGACGTGAATGGAAAGTCACGAGGGTTAATAGTGTGAATATCGCGTTTAATACTAAAATAAAACAAAGATTAGTTATTTCAATTCTCGTATTTTTCGATAACTATGATGATAATAATAACAATTGATTGATCACCTTGAGATAAAATTTCTATCCAAAAAGCATGCTGTGTTTCAGATCTCATAGTTACCACGTTCAATTCCATCAGAATCAACGCAGCACCAACAACAACTACAATAACGGATATTATCACTACAGCAACACCGATAGGACTTTTCAATGCTTCAATCACGTCTTCCTTAAGTGAAGCTGTAATTTCTTCGGGTGTCATCGGCGGTAATTGTTCATCTCGAAGGATCGATGGTGATTTCGCTGATGATATTTTTGAGTTAAGAGAAGGTCGAGAAGACGAGTGTGGATGATTTCGTCGATGTGCTGATGCTGGTGTTGTTGGTAGACTATAAATTTCTTGGTTATGTGCCTGAGGTGAAAGTCTTTCTGCTATATTAATGATTGTATTAATATTCTTGTCATTGTGAACATCACTTTTATTATTCTCAACAACATTCATTTTTATGTAATAAAAGATAAAAGAAATTTATAATTTTTACAGGTGCAAAAATATCAAATGTTTAGATCAAATGAAAAGGGAGAACGAACAAAACGAGTACGTATATACAGTATTGTGAAGATCACAAAGCACTGATGATGAAATAAAATGTTGATTCGATCAGCTTTGCGAATTCAAATTAATTTTTTGAAAAAAAAAAACGGCGACTTTTTATTTATTTAATCATCTATTCACTCGGAAAAAAACATAACGATAACCATACAACAAATGTAGTTTTTCCATTATCATTATATGTACAGTTACATACATATGCATAACGATAGGTATGTACATGTACGTACTTAATTACTCATCCTCCCATCACGTTAGTAATAAAAAAGGAATAAAAGAACTTTTGAATAAATGTAAAAAATTCTAAATAAGGAAAAGTTGTTATTTGTAATCGGAGTTTATTTGGTACAAATGATATCATTGTAGTAACCAATTCTATCGGTCGATCGTATCGATATGTAAAGAATATCCCGATTAGAAGTTTAGCTTTGTTTCGTTTTTTTGTTTAAATGCCATTTGTTCCAAATTCAATGCTCTTTTTTATTAGCGTCAGGATCCTTAAAACTCGAGATATATTCTGGTTTAGATAGAAAATCATTAAATTTCCAAGTGTTTAATGAAAATAGTAGCTTCATCAGTTCAAATTTAATATTGAATTCAGCTTTTAATTTTGTTTGAAAAAAATCAATAATAAAACACATCGATGTTGCGTATGATATTTACTTTTTAATTAATTGACATTCAATAATTCAAAGTTAATAAACTTGAACTTTAAGGATTCTAGAATTTGGATCAGCTATTTTACTATTTCCAAGAAATTTCTTGTTCAGATCTTATTGCACTTCACCTGTTGATTTATTTATACAGTTTCCTCTAAGTAATTTATGACATACAACAATTGGCAAGTTGCTCCTTGAATCAGTTAAAAACTCACAAATCGATTAAATTTGAGTTAATATACGGTCCAACAGAATAACTTTACTTCCTCTTGCTAATTCAACGTCAAGGACAATTACCAAAGACAATACCGCTTTAACCATAAAGCTTACGTAGAATGGCTGAAAAATTTCAGCATGTAATATCGTCAAAGCATTAACAACATTACAGATTAGATTAGGCCTATAACAAATGGATCTATGTGAAGCACATTGATGCTATATCTTTGTGGCAAATGTAATGCAACCGCAATGCTGAATTGATCAATAAGTGCATCATATTTAGTCGCACAGTTTGGAGATAAATTTGTTTATTCAAGGGAGAGACAACCCTCAATCTGGAAGGTCTCGCGAGGCAGTATTGTCTTTGTATTTTCTGTGATTGTTCACTAATACACTGCAAAATGTGCTGAGAATTTAAACCTGAATTAGTGAACAATCACAGAAAATACAAAGACAAGTAACCCCGTGCAAAGAAACTTTTAGCCATGCTTGAGAAAGAATTCACAAATGTGATCACTGAGGATCCTATAGTCCAGATTAAGCTCCATGTGACTTCTGACTTTCCCAAACTAAAGAGAAAACTTGATGAACAAACATTTTGAAAGGGTTGAGTGAGCAGCTTTAAACTTCCGGTTTTGACCGTCTTTTGAATCTAGAAGTACCAATATCGATATTTTTTCTCTAGATCTATCAGTAAATTGATTGGATTACCTTTAAACCAGGCCAGGCCAGAAATCTCAAGAAGTGACAAGTAACAAAAAAGTTCAATAGTCAATAACATCACCACAATCCGTTTTCATTCTTACGTGTCGTGTTATAGCATCTGAAAATAATGCTCCAAAAACTCGTTCGTCAATCTTTGACGAACGAAGGATATTGGAAGGTGAGACTTATTATGCAGATAAATCTACGTAGATATTCGGCACTTTCAACTCGGCTTGGGGTCAAAGTTTACCAAAAATGGTTCGGATCAAAGATCAGCTGCCATTTGATCCAGTTACAAATTGGCTAAAGAGGATTTTTGCTTCACGTATAGAACACGAGTTATAACCCTTTAAAAATCCAGCCTGAGTGGATGATTTATGCTGCCGACTATAACTAAAAATTTACAAGCATCATTCGGCTGTCGTATGTAATTATATAATTGCATCTTAATAATTATTTGCATTTTTAGATTTAGTGTATTCTATGCGAAAGTATGCAAGTAAATACACACAAATTTAAGGCTCTTATGTAATTAATTGATGAGCTTGGATTTGCTCTATGACATTCATGGGTTGATTTGTTATCCAGCCAACGAGCTCAATATTTGGTTTCAACAGAACGCGAAAAAAATTTTTATTATTGAAACGTAGAAATGATGGATTTCAAAAACCGGCAATAAATATCATCAAAGATCCAATTTAATCAAAATGTATTGATTTTTCTTTAACATTTCCCTCAATTGCATTTATTCATTAAATCGATGAGCACCGGCGAAATTCAGTACCAGATATTTTTCTATACAGTACTCTGAACCCTTTTCCAGTGTATTCATCCTGTGCGTAAAGTACATGTAAAAATGGAATTCAGTGCAGTGCAGTGCAGTACGCGATAGATAAATCACCGTGCATATGTACGTACTACATATTCTTTATTGTGTAATTTTTTACTTTTATTTTATTTGCTCTTTTGTTCCGATTTTACATTGTTTCTATCTTTTATTCGTAATGTCCTTACCACGAAAGAATTATCCTCAGAGCTTCGTGCACAAATAATTGGTGCGTATGGAGATAATGCTTCAGTTATTGCCTCTACTCCCACAAACAGTACGTGATACAATTAATCAGTTTAAAGTGTATTGTGAAAAAATGATTGCAAAGCAGCGCTCATTAAAGTTATCAACAACTAAATGCATACATTAATAACTCAATTCACTTTGATACCATTCGTAATTATTATCATTTGAATCTCACTATGCAAGTCATAAACCTCTTTTAACTACCCAACATAAAAACGCGTTTACAATGGTGCAAAGAAAAGAAAAGAAAAACTGGAATGATGAATGGCACCAAATCGTATGAGCAGATGATTCACGATTTCCCCTTCAGATAGACGTACAAGAGTATGGCGAAAATCCTTTGAAAAATAATTAGAAAGTTGTGTGGTTCCAACAGTAAAAATTGGTGTATCGTCGGGGGATGTATTGGATGGGATGGGGTTAGACCTTTGGTAGAAGTTGATAACAATCTCGATTCTGACGGTTATATTAATATTCTTTCCAAATATCTGGTTCCTTGGATGAATAATCATTCTCATACGACTTTTCAGCAAGATGGTGCTTCCTTCGCATTATAGTTGTTGATGGATGCAAACACACAGTATTCCAGTTTTAGAATGGGTTGTCCAAAGTCCTGATTTAATCCAATTGAGCATATATGGGATCATTTAGATCGACAGGAGAACCTCTTCCGACCTCCAAAAAGGATTTAATTGATGCATTGAAGAAAGCATGACAAAAAGTGCCTTTCGATATTGTACGCAATTTAATTTCCAGTATGTCGCGACGAGTTGCAGCTGTTATTAAAGCACATACACACATTATTAATTTATTAATATTTTTTAAACGAATATTATTCTATAAATTTTTTTTCTCTTTCTATTTAAATATTGTTATTAAGAAAAAACCATAGATACTTTAAAATCGAAAGTTTTGCTGATAACGATAATGCACGGTGATTTGTCGTAGGTCAGTGTACAGTATCAGATACATAGTACATGTACGTGTACATGTACTATGTAGTTTTTCCCATTGTTAATAGGGATAGCAAACAACATCTTTATAATCACGCTATCGAACTATGTGTACATGTACATGTATTACAAGTTATCATAGTTAACTGTAGTGCTTTATTGAATTGCTTTACGTGTACGTATATACATGTATTTACATTTCACAAAATGACCAGTTGAAGTCTTAATTAACTTTTCTCTCAACTTTGGTTTGGTCGGCAGCTCATGATAAAATAAAACCATAACATGTTCTTATTCCCATTAATTTGTTCATGTCTAATTTTCTCGATTTCAAATGCGCAATCATCATATCCGCCTAATAATCTAACAGCTTCAGAACGTGGAACCCTTGTCGACAATAAAATTATTTTCTTTGATAGCGCAGACTTTCAACTTACACATGCTTTTTCCTTGGATCTTTCTGTAAGCTGGAACATATCAGCACCAGCCTTCACCAACCTCGAAGATCTCCGTGCACCGACGTTTCGCTATACTGCTTTTAGTGCATTTAAAAGAGACAGTCGCACGCTAATATATGCTTTTGGTGGATTAAATGTAAATATAAGTGCACAACGAATACTTTACTATTTATTTTTTTTTAATTAATTTTAAAATATAATGAACAGCCGAGCAAAGATGATGATTGGTCTCAAGGAACTTTCATAGATGACTTTTATGAAATTGACATAACGTCTCATCCAATTTTAATTTCAAAATTGCCTATTACGTCCGAAGGTACACCAGGCGCGCGCTGCTTCTTTACTTCGGTTTTTGATGACAAAGGAAAACTTTATATCTGGGGTGGAGAAACTCGAGCAACAACAGATAAAGCCATGTACATATTTGACACATCTAAATCGAAATGGAGTCGAGTTTTTCCCTCTTCTGCCCCTGAACAAAGATCGGGTTATTCAGTGACTTTTAAGGACAACAAACTTTATTTTATTGGCGGCATCTTTGCGAACAAACCCGATCAAAAATGTGTTGATATTCGCGAGGTATTGCACGCATTGTTATTTGACTTTTGATGAAAACATATTATAAATTGTTCTTTGACAGATTTTGATATACGATACTCTCGATACCAATAATCCTTGGACTACACAAGTAAGTGAGTTTCGTGGATAAATTAGTTTTGCGATTATGTGAATAGTACGTAATTCACTAATAATTGTTGTTAAATTTAAAGAGTGCGACAAATAACACATATATAAGTGACCGTTATGTTCACTCAGCCATTTTAGGTAAGAAAGTACGTATTTAGTAACAATAATTCTTACATAACATTATTTTAATAAATCGCATCCGTCAATAGCGCCTGATAAGCAAGCCATTATCCTGTATGGTGGCTCATTATCTGGTTATTCAGGAGTGCCGCGTGATTATTTGCTTGCTTTAGACCTGCAAACATTTAAATTTTCAGTGCCTGTAACTCAAAACGAGCCTAAAATTGACGATGTATCAGATCATCCTACAGCTGTTTTATATAACAATTATATGATTGTATGCCTAGGTAATTATTGGATTAAATTACATATGATTCGAAGCTAAATAATAAATATTAATTTTTGATTTTAAAAATTTAAGGATATTTTAGGACTGTAAATACTAATAGAAAAGTTATCAAAGTCTTGGATTTACAGAGAGAATATACATGGGTTGAGAAATTTGTTGCAAATCCAAGTATATCGATATCACCTCCTGGTAGCGATAATAGTCCCCCTGAGAACAATGACAATTACCGTAAAACACTTATAATTGTTAGTTCCACACTCGGATCAATTATCGTGGTTTTGCTTGCAGGTTTCATAGTCTATTTCATTAGAACAAGAAAAAAAAGAAGAGCAAACGATGCATTCCCTCCAGCAGTGCATGAAAACCTGGCAGAAATTAATCCAACTTATAGGAATCAGAACATATGATTAGTTTTTATTTTTTTTTAAATTATAGTTGTATACATAAAAATTTGGTTATGGAGCTTTAAATTATAATAAGGAATAGAAAATATTTGGTCACTCTTGTTACCAGTACATGTAATATTAATTGCAATAGATTTTTTGAATGGATCCCTTTTAAAAGATTTAATGTTGAATATCTTGCAAAAGATGATTTTGGGACAATTTACAAAGCAATCTGGTTGAACGGAACAGTGAGAACTGGATATTGGAATCATGAAGAAACTAAATTTAACCAATAGAAATGGCGTTGAAATCATTACACAATTCAAAGAAAATTACACCTTTTATTGTAAACATTGCTTTTTTGTTTTTCAATATTATTAACTTTTCAAAATTAGATTCAGACGGCAGTAGTGAACTACTCAATTACTGTTATATGTGAAAAATTTTCAACACAAATCTATTTTTCTTAACATCTAGATTTTGACCGTTTTGGCCACAGCCAAAATGCCAAATGCCAATAGAGTTTGGCTGCTAATTTTGGCCGTTGATCTTGGCCGGCGGCCAAGGATTTTTTTGGCCATCGGCCAAAATGCCAACCCTGCATTACTGTATATGTATAGGCCTCATGTGACTCATACCTGCATATTAAATTTCAGCGGTGGCGCAACATTGGACTGCTTGCGCATTGTTAATGCATGTTCAATTGTCAAATTCCCAACACTGCAGCGAGATATTCCCCAACAACTCGAAGATTGTTTGGCAGTGATAACTATTGTTCAAGTAAAATTGCTTTTGACTAATTAGGAAAACAAAAGTACCGTATGATTGCGACAGAACCATTTAATAGCCGACTGATTGGTTTCCTACGCCAATATCACTGACAAAATAAACGCCATGGGAAATCTTTTCTAGTTACTCAGGCAACAATTACGACAGATATAAGCCAGTGGGGCACCTATATCTTGGTTTATTTTAGTTATTTGAAGAGCTACATACGTATACACCTGTTTTTCCATCAACGTTCCTTTTTTCAAACTGCTTTCCCTTTCTAATCAAAGAACTTTCGAAGTGATAAAAGTATATCAAGACTTCTATTCTGACATTCTTTCGTAGGATGAACAACAAAAGACAATCCATGTTCAAAGCCAAAGAAACTCTGTATTCAGAGAAACAAGAACGAAGAATAAATTGCCAGGCTAAAATCGATATTACTCTGGTTTGGTGAGAAAGTGAAAATAGCGACGGTGATAATAAGTGGAGCCGTTACGAAATACCAATTGACGAGACAGTCGTAGGTAAGGAATAGAAACAATTATTGAAATAATATGAATAAGCAGAATTTAGATGAAATTTTCCGTATGAAGAGAAAAAAATTTGCTTGCTCTCACCTTCCCTTGAATTTGCTGATTTGTATTAGATTTGCCAATTAATAGTACTGTTTTATTTTGTTCTTGGTTAATCGCTACCTACTAGTATTTGCTTGATTTTAACTCGGATTTACCTGACAAATCCCTTTATCTTAAATTAAGAAAATTAGTAATTAGCGTTAACTATTTTCGTAGAATTAGTGAGTTACTAATTCACCAAGAAAAATCCAGCTGAAAAATGTCTTATTGCTAATAGAACAAAATACGTGTGCTAAATTAAGAAAGAGTGCTACAGTATATTGTTGGTTTTCAAAATTATTGTACGTAGTATGAAAATGTGAGGTTTCTATCGATGTCAGCACATTCAACTTTTTAAAAGTGTGACGAAACCTTTCGTCATTACGAAAATAGTTTAGACATCGGCTTGAGGCTTGTATTTATGTAAACCCGAATTAGGTTTGGTTTGGGAAAGCTGGTGACTTTATCGTTATCGTTATTACGAAATTTGGGGGTAGATTTTGATTGGTAATGCTAAGATATTTTTATCCATCATCATTTTCACATTCTTAATTCTCACGCTCTTTATCGTTGTTCTTTATTTCTATACTGTTTTATACAGAACGAGAGGTTTTTCTTGTATTTTATATCAGTATTCTTTATTTCCATACTGTTTATACAGAGGTTTTTCTTGTATTTTATATCCGCATTCTTTATTTCCACACTGTTTATACAGAGGTTTTTCTTATCCGTTTTTTTCTGACCAACTCTCAGCTTAGGGTTCAAGAAATTTTTGGAACATTATTTTGAGCAGTTATCTCTTTGTTATGGTCTAGCTACTGGGTAGTATCCTTTCAGTCTTTGGGCTG